AGCCTAGGCTGACTTCGAACTCCTGATCCTCCTGCCTCAGCGTCCTGTGTGCAGCCAGCCTGGAGGTGCTGGGAGTGGAACCTGCTGCTACCAAGTCTCAATCACCAGCACCCACTTTCTTCTATTATTATAGGTATCACCATGTAGAGTAGGCTGGTCTGGAACTCACAGGCATCTACCCACCTCTGCCCCCCAAGTGTGGGGATTAAACGGGAGTCCACCACACCCGGCTACCCTTAAGTTTAAGCCAAGATCTCATATAGCCTAGGCTGACCTCAAACTTGCTGCATAGGACAGAGCAACCCGAATTCCTGATCCTCCTGCCTCCACCTCCGCATCACAACTGACTGTCCTTACTTTTAAGCTTTCAAAAATTCCACATGGGATACAAGCATGATTTTACTGTGACATTTAAAGTAAATAAAGGTCTAAATCCTTGTTGTTGTTGTTGTTTGACACAGGGTTTCTCTGTGTAGCCCTGGCTGTCCTGGAACTCACGTAATAGACCAGGTTGGCCTCGAACTCAGAGATCCTCCTACTTCTATCTCCAGAACTGGGATTAAAGGTGTGCCATCACCGCTTGGACTGAGGGCAAGAGTTTTATGAAATATTCTTTGAATGGGCGATAGCTACAGAAGTTAAAATTAGTCATTAGACAGCCAAAGATTTAAAAAAAGACTACAATTCCCAGAAGTCCGCGGGAGCCTCCAAAGCCCTAAAGCGGCTCTGGAGAGCTGACGTAACACGGAAGCGTGCACATGCGAGCAGCCGGCGAGTGTCATGGCGGCCGCCCGTCTCCTTGGGGCTTCCCGGGTGTGGGCCCGCTGGCGTCCTCGGGCGCTCCCGGTCCCCGGGGGACCTGGAGAATTCTTTATCCGGGAATATGCCAAGAAGCTAGGTGAGCCGGCTCCGAAAGAGCCAACGTGGGTACGGCGGGCGCGCTCCTGGGGAGGTGGGGCTCCGAGGGTTCACTGCGCATGCGCAGCGGTACGGAGGCCAAGCGGGCGTGGTGAGGCCTGCGGCGTTCGCTGCTTGACTCGGCGCTCAGTGCGCAGGCGCGGCCTCTGCGGGCCGGGATGGGGCGGAGCCAGGCTGGGTCCCGCGCTCTCCCACTTTGAGTAAGTCAACAAACGTAACCGACGTCAACTAAGTTATTTTATTATATACGTATACGTAACATATATATATATTTTTTTTTTTTTTTCTGAGACAGGGTTTCTCTGTGCAGCCCTGGCTGTCCTGGAACTCACTCTGTAGACCAGGCTGGCCTCGAACTCAGAAATCCGCCTGCCTCTGCCTCCCAAGTGCTGGGATTAAAGGTGTGCGCCACCACTGCCCGGCTATTGTCAATATTTTAATTTAAAAAGTAGTGTGGGTGGGCAAGTTGGTTCAGTGTGCAGAGTGCTTGCCTCGAAAGCCTGAGTTTGATCCTCAGGACCGACGTAAACAGGGAAGGAGGTGACCGGCCCCACATGCCCTGTGACAGTGCACACACCCCCACCCCACCCCCGATAATAGTTATTTAAAAATTACGCTTCGAGGCTGAACGTGATGGCGTATTCCTTTAACCCCAGCCTCGGAGCGGAGAGGCAGGGTGATCTCTGTGAGTTCAAGGCCTGCCAGGAAGACCCCATCTCAAAAAAAAATTTTTTTTAATGTTTTCTTTTTTTGGCGTTCCAGGAGAGCTACATGGTGACACCCTGTCTCCAAAAATAAATAAGTGAAAATGTTTATAGACATCGTTTCATGTCAAGTTGGCCCAGAGTCACTGAGCCATCTGTCCTCTCAGGGTTTTGTTTGGTTTTTGGTTTTTCTGAGACAGGGTCTTATGACCCCCACAACCTCAGCTCCAAAATGCTGGCATGTGCCACCGGTGTCAGCATCACCGAATGGAAGAGGGGTATGGGCTGGGTCTTCGGGGCACATGGGTGGGACAGGTCTGTGCCATAACAAGGGACCCTGCTCTGCATGGGGGTAGCTGGGGTTGGTGGTGGTTGGAGCCAGGAGACCACACAGAAGAGGGTTGAAGGAGGGCAGGGCTGGGCAGGCTGAAGTGACCCGAGCTCTCATCGTGCAGTCGGCAAGGGCGGCAAAGGCAGCGTGGCTGCTGAGGCCCTGAAGGACCCCGAGGTGTGCACAGACCCCACTCAGCTCACCACGCATGCCATGGGGGTCAACATCTACAAGGAAGGCCAGGATGTGGCCCTGAAGCCCGACTCCGAGTACCCTGAATGGTGAGTGTGCCACACTGCAGTGGAACCCTGACACCCAGCCTGCAGGAACATGGTACTCCACGACAACTCCCTGGGGCCTGCTGGGCTCCTCCACCCTTGTCACAGGTGGTTCTGGATGCCAGTGAGTACACAGGACCATATGTCCCTGAAGGCCGAAGGGAGCAGGGGACTCTGTTTCCTGACATTTATGACTGATCCCCAGCTACCCTTGTTCCAGGAACCCAGAGGGTTGCTCAACAGACAAGTATTCCCTTCCCAGGGCAACCTGGGAGGAGACAGTTACCTGAGCAGGCAGATACGAAGGATGGGGCCACATTCTGAAGAGATTGGCGAGGCAGGGACAGTGGGTTGTAGACTAGGCAATAAGTGTTTCCTGGGGACGTCACATGGAGCCAGGACCAAGTGAATCGAAGTGTGGCCTGTGCAAACGTCCTGGCGCAGGACAGAGCCAATTCTCTGGGAGCAGAGAAGAGGCCTGTGTGGCTGGAACAGAGAGAGCAAGGGGCAGAAGCAAAGGGAAGCAGGGCGGGGACAGCTGGTCCCTTAGGCTCCTTCTCTGTCACTGAGAGCCAGGGCAGGGTTCAAAGCCCCAGCCGGACACCACCCACGCCCTGGAGCTATGGGATGCCCACACAGCTCTCTTACCCCCAGGCTTTTCCAGGTGAACTTGGGTCCCCCCAAAAAGCTAGAGGAACTAGAACCGGAGTCCCGAGAGTACTGGCGACTGCTTCGAAAACAGAATATCTGGCGTCACAACCGGCTGAGCAAGAACAAGAAGCTGTAGTGTGAGGATGTGCACCTCACAGGAGACTGCCTGGGCCTGTGGCCAGCCAGATGGGAGACAACTGAGTCCTGTAAAGTGTCCTCTGACCTTCACGTGCTCAGCGCAGCGTGCAGGCCATGTGTGCACTAAATAAGCAGATATGAAAGCGAAGGAGTAAATAAAGGGATACGGCCATTACACACGTGTACTGTGTGTTGTGCCCTGTGGTGTCAGAACTGGGAGGACCCCAGCCTCTGACGCACAGCTGTGCTGTCTGATGGGCAGGCTGGGCCCAGGTACTTCAACAGTGAGGTCTGTGACTTGACCTGCTCAGGTGCTCTCTGGGCAGGTGGCACTCCTGCAGAGAGGTGGCGTCGGGCCTGGCTAGCCGTGTCTCCTGCTCACCCTTCCGTGAGCACACGGTGTGGATACACATGACTTGTCATTCACTGACCCAGGGCTAGACCGTGTCTCTGCCATCTGGTCAGGAGCCAGCCTGACCTGGGCATGTGATCTGAGCCCTCCCACCTCTCCAGGGTCCAACTGGACTGAAAGATTGGCTGAGATTATGGTGCTGAGGTCCTACACAGGACAGGCATGGGTCTGCCTCCCTTCCCAGGGCTCGGGGTGGTCAACCCCCTGTGCTTCACTGAGGCATCGGAGGCTCCATCCCTACGGCAGGAGTCTGGGAAGCCCTTTTTTGTCACCAGCCTTCATGACGCTGCCTAGCAGGCAGAGGAGCGAGGATGTAGCCATCTTAATCCAAATGCCCTTGGGGCTCCCCGGTGCGTGTCAGAGTAAGAGCAGAGCCTGGCCCCTGATTTCCCCAGCTGCCTCCCAGCTGCAGCTGCAGCCTGGCCTGGGCCTTAGCACAGGCTGTGCCTCTTCTGCCTCCTGCCTGGCCTGGGCCTTAGCACAGGCTGTGCCTCTTCCTCCTCCTGCCTGGGTCAGAGTTTGCCATGTGTTGACAGGGCAGCTGTAGTGCGTGCCACCCACTCTCTGAGGCTCTCCTGTGGATCTTGCATCTCCATGAAGATTAGCACTGAGTGTGTCTCCTTCATTGCTTGATCCCAGCACCTACTTGTGGTCATGTGCCACACCTACAGATGGGCCAGTGGGGGCTGATGGATGGGTGGATGGGTAGGTCCATGGTGGGTGAGTGTTTGTGGGTGGATGGACGAATGAGTGGATGGATGAGAGGATGGATGGGTAGATGGGTGGGTGGATGGGTGGATGGATGAGTGGGTGGGTGGGTGGATGGGTGGATGGATGGATGGATGGATGGGTGGAGGCATGCATGGTTGGAAGGGTGGCTCGGAGAGTGGATGAGGTTCGGATGAGTGGGTGGGATGACAGAGATGGGTAAGTGTGGCTGGGTGTGTCAGCCTGAGTGGTAGGTGGTCTGGGAAAGCAGACAGCATCCAGACTGCAGTGCTCACAGCCGTCCTTGTCAGCTTTGACTCCCAGCGTGGCTCTACTTTGGTGTCTTGGCTTCCATGGAAGAAAACCACCTTGACCTTGGAATTAGGTAGTGTGGGTTCCCTCTGCAAGAGATCTGCTGTCCTGGCATGTCTCCCTTCTGCAACATGGACATCCCATACACACACTGAACCCTGAGATGGGGTGTGACTGGAATGCTCCAGCTTGGTGCCCCTCACACCTGGGAGCAACCCTTTGGGCTAGCTTTTGTCGCAACTCCATAAACAGGCAGAGGATCCCTCCCCAGCAGGCGACACAGCTGTGTGGCAGGCAGGGACCTGGGGACTGATGACAGTGAGTCTCCAGCCTGGCTGTTCCCTAGGTGCCCTGGACCCACAGGCTGGTGAGGCGGGTGCTGGGGGCAAGGACAGGCCTGTGGTCTGCCCATACAGACAGAGTGGGCAGGGACTTTAGGTAACACCACAGGCATCAACAATCAGGTTGGCTCAGAGGTCCATGTGGGCAGGGCATGGTCACCAGGAGCTGGCTGCAGGTGGAGGACACACAGGCACCAGAGACACAGCTGTACAAAGTCCTTCCAATTGCTCTTTATGGGGTGTCCCAGCATGAGGAGCCCGGGGGGCTTCGGAGCCTGTGCACCGGCTCATCCCGGCCCTGGCACCCTGTGTTTGTGTCCCTCTGCTTTCTGCTTCAGCGGTCAGTGGTCAGCGGTCCTGGCTCCCTGTGGGAGCTGAGCCCTCAGCCTCCTGTCCCCCAGCAGGGCCTGTGACACCCACACTGCGGAGTTCTCGGCCCAGCTTTTCCACTATTTTGCGGAAGGGTGGTCGTCGAGCAGGCTCTGCCTCCCAGCAGCTGCCCATGAGGGTGTGCACAGGGCCCGGGCAGCCGTCGGGGGGCTCCATGCGGTAACCCTTCTCCACAGCCTCTGAAACCTCCTTTAGCGACTGTAGACACAGGGGGCATAGCATGGGTGGGGCAGCCAGTGACCCGGGATGCACGTGCTGCCCCGCCCAGGGAGCTGCTCACCATCTTGGGGTATGGGGCTCTTCCATATGAGAAGACTTCCCACAGCAGCACCCCAAAACTCCAGACATCCGACTTGCTGGAGAAGCGCTGCTGGGGCAGATGTCAGGGTGAGGAGAGTGCCTGTGGCTTCCCTGGACACAGTCCCAGGCTACCTTCCCCCTCCGTGCTAAAGCCTGCTTCAGAGATGGGGGCCTGTGAGGCTAAGGGAAGTCCTAGGAGGAATCGGGAGACCCAGGCCTCCCTGGCGGCTCAGAGAGGTCAAGGGATACCACAGGGTCACACAGCACAATCAGAACATCCAGCACCCTCTGGGGAACCCCAAAACCCCAGAGAGGGCTGGAAGGCTGCTCACCCCATTTTTGAGAGCCTCAGGTGCTGTCCACTTGACTGGCAGCCGGCTTGAGTCCAGCCCCTTCCGCTCTGCCTTTGCTAAGCCAAAGTCACTGACCTTGGCCACTAAGTCCTCCGACACCAGGATGTTTCGAGCAGCCAGGTCCCGGTGGACCAGCTTCTTGCTTTCCAGATACTCCATGCCTTCGGCAACATGACTAGAGACAGACAAGGCCCAGTCACCCTCAAGTCAGGCCTCAGTTTCCCCTTCCACTTTGGGACCTACCTTCCTAGAAGGAATGTCACTTACAGAGCAAACTGCAGGAGCTGAGACGCACTCACAAGCGCACGGCCCCGCGTGCGCAGGAAGTTCACCAGGTTGCCCTGTTTAAGGGGAGACTTGGGGGTCTCCAGGCTGTCGGGCCAGCACTTCCTGTCCACCCATCTGCCACCCCGCTCACCTTGCTCACGTGCTCCATGACAATGTACAAGCCATGGTGCAGGATCACACCCAGGAGTCGTACCAGGTTCCTGTGCTGCAGCTTTCTGGGGGTGCAGGGGGGGCCTGAAGTAAGTACACTCCTGGGACCCCAGCCCTAGGACCCGGTCCCAGCTGGCCACTCACGTCATCACAGCCGTCTCATCCAGGAAGGCCTGGGCCGTCACATCACACTTGATATTCTTCACAGCCACCTTCTGTCCCAGGTACTCACCCTGTAGGACAGCTGACAAGAGGGACAGAGCTCAGGACAGACGGACAGACTTGCTGCCTGGAATCCCCCAGTGAGGGGCCAGGGGGCATGGCCTGGGCAAAGGATTGGAAACACACTGAAGGAGGCCCTGCTCCATCCCTCAGGCCCCGAATGAGAAAAAATAATTCATGCAAATACAATGGCTGCCTCATTATTCAGAATCCAAGATTCTGTTCCATGAAAAAGCCCACAGGTGCTGCCCATATTTCCATGATTTCCAGCTGCTCGGGATGGACAAGGCTGGCATGACGGACAAGGCTGCCATGACACACATGCGTGCAGTCTACTGTCCCCTGACCCAAGCCCCTGCAGAGTGCACACAGGGAAGGGTTTCTGAGGATCCTGGGAGGTGTGGGTGCAGGCACTTCTCAGACAGCCCACACCTGTCCTGCGCTGTCCAGTTGAGGGGCCAGTTCTGAGCACTGCCTGCTGTGTCCCCTCCTCACCTCCAAACTCCCCCTCTCCAATCTGTGCTCCCAGCGTCAGATGCTGCAGGTCAAGCAGCCAGCCAGCTGCAGGGACAAAGAGAGCCATCAAGGGGGAGACAGGATGCCGTCCGCCCTCCCAGCCAGCCTGCATTCAGTGAGACTGGGACAGCAGACACCCTCACGCTGGTCACACCTGAGCATGCTCCTGCCATGGCAGATGCCCTGAGGCTATATGAAGGACACCCCACTCCTGGTCCCACTTACAATCCTGCAAGCCACAGCTGTCCCAGCTTTCATCAGAGTACAGTCCCCCTAGATTCCCTAGATTTGAGCCATGGCTTCAGGACCTCCCTCTAGGGGCAAGGAGTGTGGCTGCCCTTGTGGCTCACCATGCCTCTGGGAGGGCCTTCTTGTCGATCCACAGAGAACAAAAGGCACAGAAATATGGAGAATCACAAAGGTTCTGGAATCTTCCAGGGCTGTACTCTCCCTAATCCTGTACTCTGCACAGACCTGCAGTTTCCTCTGAAAGCCCTCTCTGCCTCCTAAAGACGTCTACCCCGCTCCCTACCCCCACTCTGAAGATTCAAACAGTACAGACACTTCTCTCCACTGTGACTTTGTCTCTGGGACTCCAGACTTGACTGGAGAAGTATGACAGGGTTGGAAGATGCAGGGGCTTACCGGAGCCAGGTCTGGGGTGTGAGGGAGAGGGATTAATTTAGGGTTGGGAGGGTGGGGATGGGAGTCTGCCTGGGGTGCATGGAGACGCTTCCCTCTGCAGGCCTGGTCTCGTACCCTTGGCGAGCTCCTCCTCTGCAGACTTTGCTCCCTGTTTCCTCCTTGGCTTCACCAGCTTGGTGCAGATGGCCCCCTTGTCCTTGGTGTAGTGCTGTGAAGGCCGGCGGCTGTGAGCCTCTGCCTCTCAGGACCCTGCTCCCACTACCCCACCCCAAATCTCAGTGAGGTCAGCAGACTCCCCTAAGTGCCAGGCCAAGGTGAGCAGGTTCCCATGGCAACAGTAGGGGTGTAGAAAGGAAGCTGAGGGGTGGTTGGTGTCAACATGGGGCTCCCTGGGGAGGTGACCCCAGTTCTAGAGACAGAAGTGACAGCTACTAGGGCCCGCCCTACATATTTCCATCCCTCCTGTCCCAGCCTTTCCCCAGGTCACCTCCACCATGTCCATCAGATTACAGAAACACACGGTCTCATCAATGGTGAGGTGCCCGTCCCGATGCAGGACACGGTAGTGGATGACATCACGGCCGAAACTGACGCACAGCACATAGTCTCCAGGGTGACGAGCTGATTCCCTCACGAGAAACAGCCCGTCCTCGGGTGGCTGCAGCTGCTGGACAGCTTCCTGACCAGAGATCTTGCCATGAAACCATCTGTGGGGATGTGAGGAGCCGGTGCTGTGTGAGGTAGGGGCGGAAAGGGGCTGGGGCCCTCATGCCGCCCCCCAGGGTGCTCCTCACGGCATCAGGCTGAGCTTGGGGTCTGTGGAGAGGGCCTCCCGCTGTCGCAGAGCAGTGGCTGCCAGCAGCCCTTCCTGCCCACTGCTGTGGTGCTTGGCTCGGTACCAGCTCTTATCCTGTACAGGAAGGGAACAGACGAAGGGAAGGAGCTGGGGGGTGTCTGCCCTGCCACCCCTAAGGCACACCACCTACCCTCCAGTTCCCCTCTCACCTCACAGGCCTCCAAGATGGTCACCATGTCACCCTTTCTAAAGGCTAGCTCGCCGGGCTTGGGGCGAGAGTTCTCACACTTGGTCATACATTGAGTACCAGGGGCCCAGCGCTGCTGGGAGGAAGACAGAGGCAGGGGGATATCAGGGACCAACTGCAGGGACAAATGGGTATTGAGAGGGACAGAGAGACCTGAGAGAAAGCTGGGGCTGGTGGGGACCAAAGGCAGGACAAGGGAATAGTGAAGACACAGGCCTGTAGCCTAATTCTCAGATGGCTGAGGCAGGAGGATTCCAAACTAGCCAAAGGCCAGCCTGGGCTACAGGAGGATTCCAGACTAGCTAAAGGCCAGCCTGGGCTACAGTGAGACTTTGTCTCAAAAACTAAAAAGATGATGCCAGGCATGGTGGCCAACACTTGTAATCCCAGAACTTGGGGTAGGAGGTGGGCCTCTGTAAGTTTGAGACTAGCCTAGATTACACATCAAGTCCTAAGCCAGGCACACCTACATACTGAGACTGTCTCAAAAGTAAAGTCCAACAACGACTAGAAGCCTGGGGTGTCTCATACAGAGAGAAAGGAAGGGAGGGCAGAAGGGAGACAGCCAGAGAGGCAGGATTACAGTCACACGTGGCCAGTATGGTGGGGTCCTTGGGACTGTCAGGGGTGGGTGCTTGCTCGAGAAGCCGGGCCATGTTCTGGCCGCCCAAAGGGGACAGTTGAAAAAGGTCTGGTGACTCAGGGCCCCACACTCACCGTTGGCATCCTAGCTGCGGCAGGCGTGGGGTGCCAAGCTCCGAAGAATCGAGGGCTCACCTGTGAAAGGAGACAGTGTCATGCTGGGAGTGTCCCCAGGTCCGTTCCTTCCTCAGGGTCTGGCCTGAGGGAACTCATCCCTCGGATGGCTTAGGTGTGGAGCCCTCCCCAGCTCTTGGCTTTAGGGAAGTCATCGTTACCCGACGCAGGTCCTTAGACTCCCAGCCATCAAAGGCCAGCCAGGAGACCCGGGAGCCTTGCCCTGCCATTGCTCGGGAAGGGAAACTGAGGCCCAGAGGCAGGTGGCAGCCAGGGCCGTGTGTGAGGAAGAGCTGGGCCTGAGGCTTCCTCTTTCCTGGGCCGTGGGTAGAGGCCGTGGGCAGGGGCCGTGACTCAAGGTCATTCCTGGGAATCCGACTCTAAGCGGAGCCGGGGGAGGGCGGGCTCCTGTGCAGCTCTTGGTTCCTTGGGTCACCACGGGTCACCAAAGAAACATCTGAAAGGACCCACCCCATCCCAGCGAGGGCACTGCAGGGTAGTGGCTGCACAGGTCCCCGGCTGGTGGCTGGCAGGGGGCAGGGCGGAAGGTTGGGGTGCACTCCTGGCTTCGGGATCACTGGGATTTGCACGGCAGCCGCGCAGGCGGAGGCGCACGTGCATCTGGGCACAGGTGCCACCAGCCACCCCCGTGTGCGCGACACGGGCACCAGCGAGACGCGTGCACCTGTGCGCGTGCCTGCAGTGCACAGGGACCTGCAGTGACCACCGGGGCTCGCGCACTCAGAGACGCGCACGCCGCACCCAGAAAAAACAAAATAAAAAACCAGCCCGCTACACCCGACGCCCCCGGGTCTAGGACCGTTTCGAGGGTGGTGTCCCCTCTCCACCCACGCACATACGCTCACCTGCTCAGGGCGCACCCCCCGGAGGGTCCCCGCCAGCGGGTTGAGTGCCCGGTGGCTCAACTCGGAGCAAGTTGCAAGGCTTCCTCATTTCGGGGCAGGGATAGAGGGGACTCGGCTCGGAGCCCCTGCGGGTCCTAGCGCCGGCCTCACTACAGCCGCGCTGCCACCTCCTCCCGCTCCGCCTCCCACTCCGTCCGGGCGGGATGCTGAGTACCGGTGCCCGGTGCTCTCAAGCCCCTGCTGGGTCCTAGCCTTCCGTTGCCCACCCCGGGAAAGCGGGGAGCGCGGAATGGCTCCGACACGCGCAGGTGCTACAAGTACGGAAGAGCTCCCTGTCTGCGGAGGCGAGCAAGGCGAGCTGCAGCCCTGCCTGGCCAGCCTGTACTTTCAGAAATGCCAGCCAGTAGGCTGTGGAGCAGTCAACCCTCCTCTCAGCTCTCAGGAGGCAGAGGCAGGAGGATCTCTGTGAGTTGGAGCCCAGCCTGGGCTACAATATAGAACTATATAGTGAGACCTTGCCTCAAAAAAAAATAAAGCAAATAAAACCTAATTAATTAAGCACAAATTTGGACAGACTTGGAACCAAGGCAGCCTCAAGTTCCACTTTTCTCGGACCCTATTGCCGATGACAGTCACAAGCTCACAAGCTCTGAGTCACAAGCTCACTCCCTGCTGTCACCACCACCCACACTGCAGGCAGATGCCCCTCGGGTGCAGTAGTGGCCCAAGTGTTTCACAGTAACCAACTGCGTTCAGACTGGGTGTGGCATGGGCCTAGCGAGACCTCCGACAGTCGTCTTTCTGATGGCCTTTGTACAGATGTTTACTCTGGTACCTACAATTAGCAAAGATCCAAAAGTGGGGTGTGGGACTGGGGCTCAGTGAGTGGCACACTGTGGTGTCACAGGCCTGTCATCTCAGCACTGGAGAGGTAGAAGCAGGAGGATCAGGAGTTAAGGTCATCCTCAGTGACATAGTCAATCTAAGGCCAGCCTGGGCTACCTGAGACTCCTTTGGAAAGAAGAAGCTTGAGAAGTGAACATGTTGAACTGGCCCTAGGGGTTGAAGGACACATGCCTGCAATCCAAGTCTTTGGAGAGGCTGAGGCAGGGGCATGGGGAGATCAGGGTACAGAGGACATTTCCTAAAACAAACACCATAAACAGTGTCTCTGTGCACTCTGGTCCTCGAGGAGCTGGGTGAGGCATCTGGGGTGTGGCTCACCCCTTCCTGGGGCCCATGTGGCTATCACCCCAGGAATGTCATCTTTGGTGGTAAGCTATCACAACTATCTAAAATAGATGTGCCAAACCACAAAATGAAGAGAGGAAACCCTACTGCCTGCAACTTCTTACAGACGTTGGCCACTGCTGACCACAGCCCTGTCCCTTCTGGACACTTGGTGTGGGACAAGAAAGTGTTAAGGGGTGTTTATGATTCTGCAGGAGGCTGGGGCCGTGCACACAGTGCTCACCTGGTGTGCACGGAGCGCTGGGCTCCAAAGCCAGCACTTCCCAGCAATGAGGAGACTGGGGTGGAGGGTTAGGACTTTGAGGTCAGCCTCAGGAACTTGTGATGACCTGGGCTATGTGACTCTATCTCAAAAGAAGGAATATAAGATGCCCAAACGTTTTGCTTTAAGACAATTTCACTCATAGCCCATGCTAGCCTCAAACTCCTCCCCCAGCATCCAGAGTGCTAGGAAGACAGTTGTGCTGCCCTGTCTAGTCCTCCTGACAGATGTTTAAAGTGTTTAAAGTCAGTACCTGCAGAGATGTCAAAAGAACGCTTTGCTTCCTTGTGCAGGGAGCACTCCTTGTGCCCACTTTGCAGATGGGGAAACTGAAGCTCTGGGACTCACTGCCATCAGTCACTGGGGACACCTAAGTGTCTCAGTTTCCATGGAGTTTGTTCCAGCCTGTATTGCGGCCAGATCTGCCTGCCCCAATTAGTATGCCTTTAAATTTAGCTCTATGTGGTGCTTCTCACGCTAGGGGGACTTCTCACACTAGGGGACTCCGGGATTCAGGGAAGGCCAGGCTTCCTGCTGGGGGTCGTCCCACACTCTCTCTGACATCCAGTTGCCGGCATCCCCCACCTTCCTTTTCTATTTGTTGTTTGTTTTGAGACAGGGTCTCAGTTTGTAGCCCAGGCTAGCCTAGGACTCCTGGTCATAGTATACAAAGCACCTAAGGACAGAGCGATGGAAGCCAACTTTAGGTCATGTCTGCCATACAAAAGCAGGGACTGAAAATTACCTATACCCACTCACTGAGTGTGAAAAGCAGGACACAGGGAGAGCCAGAGGGTGAGGTTACCCCCCACCCCCGCACAAGATGATGGAAGGACCCATGCTCAAGGGTGGGCCTCTGATTCACACACTAAGACGCATATTTTAAAGTGTTGCTGGCAAATAGAAACCCTCTGGGTTTCTGAATTTTCTTTTTTAATTGTTTTTTTTGGTTTCTCGAGACAGGGTTTCTCTGTGTAGCCCTGGCTGTCCTGGAACTCACTCTGTAGACCAGGCTGGCCTCGAACTCAGAAATCCACCTGCCTCTGCCTCCCGAGTGCTGGGATTAAAGGCGTGCGCCACCACCACCCGGCGAATTTTCTTTCTTTCTTTCTTTCTTTTTTATAATAAGTAAAACCTAGACCTGTATAATTTTTTGTTTGTTTGTTTTGACACGGGGCTTCTGTCTGTAGACCAGACTGGCCTTGAACTCAGGGAGCCTCCTGCTTCCAGCTCTGCTTTAAAATTTTAACAAAATGCCTCTGACATAAAAGTGACCATTTTACCCCGCCTCAGCTCGGCCGCAGGGAGCTCGCTCGCCCTCATGGTGCAGCAACATCGTCTGTCTAGAGACATCTCAGTCTCCAGAACCGAGGCTGTGTCCCACACTAAATCCCTTTCCCTCCCCTGCCCCGGGCCCTCACCGTCCCACTCGTGTCTCTGTAGGTCTGACTCAGATCCTGTGGAGTGTGGTCCATGTCACTTGGCACAGTAGTCAGAATGTCCTTCGTGGGTGTATAATATTCTAGCGCGTGGCTCGACCACACCATGTATGCCCATTCGTCCCTTGAAGAAGTCTTTCCTGTCTCCTTGGCCGGTGATGATCACGCAACATTTTTTCAAAATGTCAGTGAACGTGGGGTGGGGGAGTCTGGGATGTGGGGGCTGCAATCCCCCTCCTGAAGAACACCGGTCCTCTCTCTGGCTCTTACTTCGAGCCACAGTGGTCATTGCCTTTCCTGTGGTCAAAAGTGACCTTGCACAAGCCGCTTCTGTCTTCCGGAACCTTTCTGCCTGGGCTAAGGCCCCGCCCACACCGTGCGTCATCCGCTCCCACTCACCTTGTCTCCTAGCAACGCTCCCTTGCATCCGCAGCCTTGGTCCAGCTTTTAGCACCCTGGCAGCTCAGCCGGCCTCCTGCCTTATCTTGGGACCAGCCCTGTGCTCTGGCCTCAGTTGGCCTGCACGGGGTCCCCTGCCCGGTGGGAACGGGACTTGGGGCTGGAAGGTCAGTTGCTGCAGCTCTTCCCGGCTTCAGCGAGCTGCGCGGCCCAGACGGGACTCCATCTGGAGCCAACTCCGCGCTCACAAAATGATAGATGTTGCTGTCTAGTCGCAGAAGCTCCGTGGTTTGGGGTTGCTAGGCGGGTCCGACTTAACTCTTTGTCACCTGGAGTGGATTCATCTGCCTTCCCAAGTGGGCTTGGTGGAGAGGCTCAGCGCAGAGCGGGGGGTAGGGGCGTGGTGCTTTCCCGTTATCACTGAGCCTGGCCACCAAGGTCCCGGCTTCCGTCTCCTCCACCCGTGAGCTCTCTCAACGGTGAAGCAATGTCCCCCATAACCAGCCACAGAGACAAGGGCGCTGGGCGCCGCCAGGAAGAGCTTTTTCATTTGGTTACCCATGTGTGCTTGGCTCAGCTAGACCTAGCATCAGGTGGACATCTCCTGTCTGTGGTGGTCCCAGTGTCCCGCTCGACAGGGGTGGGTAGCTGGTGAGGAGAAGCCCGGGGCTAGGAGCACCCAGGGAAGGACGACACTGGTCTTCACGGGGGGTGGGGGGGGTGGGGGAGGGAGAGGGCGGCTCCGATGGAGGTCGTGCTTAGATTTGGTGTTTCACAGGGAGTATATGTGTGTCGGGGTGCTAAGGAAGAGGAGACAGAAACTGGAAGGCAGGCCTGGGGCCCGTGAGTCCCCCACATTCCTCCAGGAAGCAGGAGGAGAGTGTTCCATCAGGACCTAATGGGGGTGTGGGTCGGCACAGGGGCAGTCACAGGACTGCTCCTCCGGCCCCTGGAGCTCCGCCCACACTCACAACGCAGCCTGGGGTGGGGAGGCTGAGGGCTGGTGAGCACAGCCACCCGGATCCGAGTGAAGGACATGAAGGCCACACCACACATGGGCAGATCCGCTTTATTCCCATCCCAGCCAAGTTCTGGATGATTCTATAGTCTCCAGGCATCGCGCCATGTGTGGGCTGGCCTTTAAAAGCCACAGGCAGAACGGAACAGGGTTGAAGGGTCATACCAGGGGATCCAAAGGAGGCCTAACGGATAGAGCTGTGTCCATGCCCAATGGGGCACAGGATGACATGGGGCGGAGTAGGCCATCTGCAGAAGGCACTCAGTGACTGGAGCTAGGGTCGCACTGTGGGGTGACAGTGTCCTCACAGCTAGTAAGGGGGTCTGTGTAAAGGATACAGTGGGTTTGGGGCCTGTGGAACCTCATTCTTTGCTCTCTGCCCCTCTACCCCCACTCTGTGACCCATAGAATCTTCCAGGCCACCCCTCCTGTCATCTCAAGGAAGCGATTCAGATCCCATTGGCTTCTTATGACATCAAGGGAGTTTCAAATAGCAATTAGTACCAAGGAGGTCACTGCTATATGGCTTGGGGATGGGTGGGTGACAGCCATGGGCATGGGGTCACCTCAGAGGGACCCCCACAGCATCGTGAATAAACCTACAGACACAATGACAAAGGCGTCCCACATCAGGAGGAGCCAGCAGCTGGAGGGACCACACCCGTTCAGGTGTGGGATGTGTGGGTCGGTGGTGACAGCTGGCTCAAGGCAGCCCTGCTGTGCCCTGCCGGCCCCGCTTCCTCTCCCTGGCGCCCTCCTGGGCCTGACTAGCCTCCCTCATCCTCTTCCGGGCCCGTGCCCCGGCCCCGAATCTGGTCCGTGGAGGTAACTGCTCCATGTGAAGGACCTTGTGTATCTGCCGGAAGGCCACAAGGCGCAGAGCAAGCTGCGGACAACGAGTCCCATCAGGGTGTGCTAGCCTAGCTGGGCCTTAGGGACCAGGGGCTGGGCTGTTTGTTCTGTTGCTTGTAAGGTTTTGGTGCCAGACATGTGGCCCTGGGGAATGTCACCACCAGCTGGTGGCACAGGCTGGCCAGGGGCTCCTGGGACTCCGCCTTTACTTCCTGTGTAGAGGGACCCCAAATTCCTTGTAAGATACTCAACCCCCATGAAAGTGGCAATGTTTGGTGCTTGGTTCTGTGTGGCTATGTACTTCTTTTGAGACTGGAGCTCATGTAGCGGAGGCTAGCCTCAAACACTCTCAATAGTCAAAGATAGCCTTGAAGTTCTGATCCTTCTACCTCCACCTGTACTGCTGGATGGAACCCAGGGCTGTGTGTATGATAGGCAAGCCCTGTGGTCTCATGCAACCCACGCCGCTCGGTGCTGCAGGTGGGAGTTCCTTACTCCAGGACCTGTATCCAGAATGTGGGAGGGGACCACGTACCTGCGCACTGGCTGTCAGGTCTTCTCGCTGCTGTGGGGTCATGGGCTCCAGGGCGTCCTGTGGGCCTTTTTCACAAGGGTCCTGTAGCCCTGGGCCATCTGAGCCGGGGAGGATGCCCTTATGAGAGACTAGCGGGGCATGACGGGCCTCCCTGCACGGTGGCTCACTGTGCATGTGGTCTGTGCCGTGTCTGTAGCACACTGACCCATGAGCCACATCAGACGAGGTCTGCCTTGACAACGCAGGGGGCATTACGTGGGTCCCCTGTGGTACCTTTGTATTTGCGCCTGTGGGTGTGCCCCAGCCTATGTGAGTTCTCAAAAGGCCCACATGACAGGCCTGACCCTTGACCCTCCTTTCCCACTCAGAATCCAGGAACTCTCGGGACACCTGTCTAGGGTCCATTCCTGCCCCCTCGAGGGAGGGCACTGTGTGGTTTCTGTTCCTCAAACTCCTTGTGTATCAGAGGCTGACCTTGAACTCCTGAACCTGCTGCCCTTGCCTCCCTGCTGCTGGGGTGGCAGACGTGTGCCGCCAGGCCCAGGCTGTACAGTGCTGGGGATCGGACGCAGGGGCCGAGTGCTCTGCCCACTGAGCCACAGCCGGGCCCCAAACCATGGCTCTGGCGTCACAGCGGCGTCATGTGGCTTCCTTGAACTCCAGTGATGGGTCCTGTGCACTTGGGCCGGGCAGGCACCAGGCACAGCAGTCACAGTACGTGAGGCAGCTAGGAGTGTGCATGGTGGTGGCACAGGTGACAGTGGGGCAGCCCTGGACTGGGGATGAAACCACCTCCTGCGCCTGCCTTGCTGTGTCCCTAGAGGGCAGCAGCATGCCTCTGCCCTTTGCGCTGTAGGCTATGGACAGGCTCCCAGTGTGTGGAGTGAGCTTTTCTTCTTGGGCACGCATGTGGCAGGCCACTGCCTCTGCTGCCCTCACCCTCCATCTCCCGCCCCATCACTGACCTGTGAGGAGCGCGCCTGTGGCCACATACTCCAGAACCCGACGCACGGCACCCCCCGGGCTCAGGGGCCGGGGGGCGCTGCTCAGAACCTTCTCCACCAGCAGCTCCATGGCCTGAAGGGGACATGGGGAGGGGTGGCAACCACATGAAGGACCCGATGTGGCTGGATGATAGACAAGGCCATGCTATGGTCAGTGTCTGTGGCCAGCACAGGGGCCGTTAAAAAGTCCTAGAGTGCCCTCTGCAGCGCAGCTAGCACAGAGGACACCCTGGGTCCTCATCCTGCATGGGGTCTGGACTTAACCTCCCAACTTGGGGTCTAAGGTGGCAGGTAACCATGATAGTAACCCAAGGCATCTTCTCACATTGAGGGGCCTGGTGACACCCACCCACTCTGGGATGGTTGGGTGCTGAGGAGACACCTGGCTGGCCCCACCTGTGCTTCCCCACTGTCTCCTGCGGTCTTACCCAGGCAGGCAGGGCCCCCCAGGGGGGCAGACAGCGACACAGCTCCCTTAGAACCCTGATGACAATCACGCATGGCTGCAGGCCACTGGCTCGAGCCTTGGGGAGAAGACATACGGTTGGTGGGGGGAACTCTGGGGCAGACTGTGGCTAGTGACTGTCCCCACTGCAGCCTACCCTATGACCTGACCTGGAACCACTTAGCATGGCGGAGGGCTGCCAGGGTCTCAAGGCACCTCTCCCGGTCCAGGATGTCCTCTGGGTCGGGCAGAGAGTCTTGCAGTCCTAGAAGGGATAGAGTCCAAGTCCCTTCCTGCCGGGCCCCAGTCCCACAGGGTGGTTGTGCTCAGGTTGGCTATGCTGATTGAGACAGGGTCTCCCTCTGCACTCCACCCTGGCCTCTAACTCACAGTCCCTCACCCCCACCCCAGTGCTGAATCACAGGCTGATGCCACGCTCAGCACCTACAGCATTTCTAAGTGAGCGATGGCCCTGCAGATATCAGGTCTGGGGCCTGGTCACATTGAGACCCTGTCCCTATACTCTACAAGCCGGGGTGTGGGTCAGTGAGAGAGGACCTTCCAGGTATGTGCAAAGGCCCTGAAACACCAGCTCGACTGCCCCAGACTGTGTAGCCCCATGTGAGTCTGTGTGACCCACTGATACCATGACTACCAGGGCCTTTCTTCCCAGAACAGGGTGAGCTGCTGTGCTGGGCGTGTACCTTGTTTTACAGAGGGGTCTTCCCGCATCAGAGGGGAGGTGGCAGACACGGTGACTTTCACCCCGGGCTCCACACAGGCCGAGATAACAATGTTGGCATCACGGTCAGATGAGACCTCGTACTTGTCCTCTGCCACTATCTGGGTATAAACATGGAAAGAAGCCACATGACTCCAGCAGAGCGTCCGGTGCACGAGCGGGGCACCGCAGGCTCACGGACCCATCTCCCCCTCATGTGCCTGCTGCCAGGGTTCCAGACCCTCATCTGTGTGACTTAAGACCCACCAGAGGAACATACGGATGGCAGTGCTGAGTGAGGGGTCTCTGTATGTAAAGAGCACCTGTTGTTCAATAAGATGTAATAGACAAACAACTGGTCACGAACAAAGTATCAGACAGAAAAGGAAAAGCAAAGGCCCTTTGCACAAATCAGTCACCTCTGTGTCAGACAGAAGGAGCTAAAGACTGTCAAGAGATCACTGACACCTGTGAGTACAAAGTCTAGGAAGTCTGTGTGTGTGTGTGTGTGTGTGTGTGTTTGTGTGCGCGTGCACCAGTATTGGGAACAGACCCCAGAGTCCTACAGAGGATGAGTGCTCACCACTGAGCTACAGCCCTGGCCAGAATTGCTATCCTCCTGCCTCAGTTCCAGGAGGACAGGGGCACACCAGATTCCTTTCTTTTGTATGTCCAGGGCCAGAGACTGAAGTCAGACTGTTTCACAATTGCTTCCTGACTCGGTTTTTTTTTTTTTCCTTTTTTTTTTTTTTTTTTTTGGTTTTTCGAGACAGGGTTTCTCTGTGTAGCCCTGGCTGTCCTGGAACTGACTCTGTAGACCAGGCTGGCCTCGAACTCAGAAATCCGCCTGCCTCTGCCTCCCAAGTGCTGGGATTAAAGGCGTGCCCCACTACCGCCTGGCCTGCCTCGTTTTTTTTTTTTTTTTGGTTTTTTTTTTTTGCCTGCGTGGCCAGGCTGCCTCAGGAATCCTGACCCCAAGTGCCGGGATTGCAGACACACACCACCACACCTGGCCTAGGACTGGCTTTTACACAGTTTCTTGAGATTCGAACTCAGATCCCAACACTGTGGGAGGGATGGAGGCAGCCCCAGCCCTGCAGGCCTCTCGGTCCTCGGGAACTCAGACCCTGCCTGGGCCTTGCTCTTACAGACAGCTCTCGGGGCAGCTCCTGTTTGATCCTTTGCAGCAGGGAGTGTGTGGGCTTCTTGGAGCAGAGCAGGGTCAGCTGTACACTGTGGTCCCCGCGAAGTACCAGGCCCTTGGCCAGAATGCCAACCCGCACCACGCCCTTGAGCATCCGTGGTGGTGGGGACGCCAGGGTGCTGAGGAAACAAAGAGGCAGATGGGAAATGAAGCACGCTGCTGTCATCCCTGATACCCGCCCTGCAGCCCACACAAGCAGTCAATCCTGGGAAAGGCCGGATCTGTCTGTCACCCAGCTATCTGTGTGTGATCTACCTGTCTGTTTACCTATCATTTCTATATCTGAAACAAGGGCTGTCTAGCCCAGGCTAGCCTCACTCACGGCAATCATCCTGTTTCAGCTTCCTGAGTACCGGAATTTCCAAGCCCAACACACAGGGAAATGGAATAAGAGGGACTTTCTTGCCAGGCAGTGGTGGCGCACGCCTTTAATCCCAGCACTCTGGAGGCAGAGACAGGCGGATTTCTGAGTTTGAGGCCAGCCTGGTCTACAGAGTGAGTTCCAGGACAGCCAGGGCTACACAGAGAAACCCTGTCTCGAAAAACAAGACAAAACAAAAAACAAAATAAAAAAAAAGAGGGCCTCTCTCTGTCACCAGCCTGGCAGGGGGGTATGAGACAAATGGGTGGGACAGAGCCTTGTGGCACTAACCCATGCTGGCTGCTCTCCTCGGCCAGCGTGTCTGACACCAGCCTGAGGGCTCGCTCTGTGTGGGATACAGCCGTCTGGATGGCTTGCAGCTCTTCCTCGGTGGGGTAGATGGAGGCGTGCTTACACATGACATGACGGTCGTCGCTGCTCTCTGGCCGACGCCCTGACTGTGGGGAGAGCTACCCTCATCAAGGGCAGACTGGGGACAAGATACCCAGCCCTGGCAGGACTTCGGAGAGTATTGAAGGGCCAGGCAGGCTGCAGGGAGCCATGGTACGTGGCCATTGTCTGAGCAGCTCTCACGGGGGTGGGGGGGAACACGCAGCTCTCAAGGGGGGGGCATGCACAGGGGCCTTGGGTCTGGGTGGGGGGGTTCTTTTCTGGCAGCATTGCTCCATTTCCAGGCCAGAGGCTAAGAGCCACACAGGGCATGTCCTCCTCAAGCAAGAGGCCAGCCTTAGGTCCCTTCTCAGCCTACGAGGACAGACACTTCTGGAAAGCTGGAGGGAGCCACAGTGTGGAACAGACATGCCTGCGACCTGAAGCTCCAAAGGTCTGACATGCTGGACCCACAGTACTGGGTAGTCCTCAGGGTCTTGTGCCCTCTGAGGGGCTCCTGAGGCCTGGTGGGGACTAAGTGACCTACATGTTACACCAGCACCCACCTGGCGCCGGGTGGTGGCAGTCCCTGGTCTGGTAGTGGGAGCTGGAAATGCCCAGGCAGGTAACCCGGACAGCTGCTCTTCAACCTGGGGCTGTGGAGGCTCCTCAGGCTGCCTGCTGTGTTCTTCTTGCTGTCTGTGGGGACACAGTCAGGGACACAGGGCTGCCGTTGCCAGAGGCCTGAGCCAGCCCAACAGACACATTCAAGCTCCAGGGCCCAGAGAAAGTCTAAAGGGTGAGGCAGGAGGAGTTGCAAAGACTTCAGAGCTCAGGGGACATGCAGGCAATCAGAGGTCAGGGGTCATGAGAACATCAGAGGTCAGGGGTCATGAGAACATCAGAGGTCATGGTATTCAGAGGGTAGGGACTGTCAGATGTTGAACGACCATGGGGAGGCCAGGAGTCACCTCAGCTCAGAGTTCCAGCGTCGTGCATCCTCCAGTCGTGCCTTTGCCTGCTGCCGCTGCCTCTGCAGCCGCTTGGCCAGCACCCTCTGCATGGGGCCGCTGGGCCGGCTGGCTATTGGAAGTGTAGGGTCCACTTTCTTCTGCAAAGGCAAAGCCAGACAGATGGTGACGCTGGAGAGGACAGGTGGGGGGCCATGGGTACAGAGAAGCCTCAACTAACACCAGCTGTTCTTACAGATTCACTGGTCCCTACCACAGTGGCAGGAGGAGGAGGCAGGCTGAGGGGGCGCTTTGGGGAAATGTCCTGCCCAGGCTCTGGAGGTGGCTTTACATGACTAAGGTTACTTGTGGGCCACTCATGTTCACTCGGTGCGGCTGGCCCAAGCACCAGGCGGGGTCGTGCATGCAGCTCCCCGGGGACAGCCACCAGTGGGCACGCTCTGTCTGTCCTAGTTCAGTCCACTTCTGGGAACTAAAACCACTCAGCCGCTGAGGAAGGGTAGCAGCCAAGCACAAAGCTGGCTGGGGCTCCTGGGGTCCCTGGCTTTGTGCATCTGCAGGGTCTCCGCGGGACCAGAGGGGGAAATCCTTCCACTGAGTGGCAAAGCTACGAATGTGTCTGCCGCCCACCCACTTATCTCCACACACACTCCTCACTACCCACACCCTACCTATCGCCCCCCAGCCGTGCACCCCTTCTCTATCCCTTTCACCCTTCTTCCTGTTCCTTTCCCGACAAGCCACCTTCCCCACCCCGTAGCCCTGGCCGGCCTCTGGCGCCCCTGCTGGACAGACTCTGTATTGCAGCCGGTGCCGGCGTCCAGTCAGGTGCATGTCTCTGGCGTTTCGGTCATTGAAGCTGCATTCACAGAGCCTGCATCGGAAACGGATCACCTTCCCCTCGTCACTGCACACCTGGGACAGAACACAGCTCAGCTCCCTGCCAGCCAGCCATGAGGACCTGGAAGATGCTGAGCAAGGCTCCAGGACGCTGAGCCTCCCCATGGGGCCAGCAGGAGTGTGTCATCAGAGAAGTGGCTTTGAAAGCCCCAGGGAGTGCCCATGACCTGTTCCTTCATCCTCTCAACCCCACCCCGGGGCAAAAGAGCCACCTGACTACCAGGTACTCGCTTTGTCCTCATGACCAAGTAGCAGGCCACCGCAACACTGGCTGGACAAAGTGCAAGGTACAGAAAGGCATGGCTAGGGGACTGCCACCTGTCACCTGCACACACCCACACAGGGACACCCACACACACCAACTGAAGCATCACCCTGGTGCTGCTGGGGCCGAGGCCATGGAGCCAGCTGTGAACGGAGAAGCGTGTGAGAGACAGCTCCCTACCCTGGATGTTTGTGCGGTCATCAGCCACACGGGTGCAGGCACAGTACTGCCCAGGACCCTTGGGCTGCATTCATAAACCAGCACTTTAGGGTGGAGGAGACCAGGCAAAGCTGGTCAAGGTGTGAAACCATCTGAGGTGGATACAGCTTGGCTCTCTGGTGCCCGGGACTGGAAAAGTGGGTCCTCAGGCCAAGAAGGGGTGGACAGGAGGGTCTTGGTGCCCTGAGCAAGCTTCCTGCTCCTTGTGTGGATGGCAGACATGTGGACAGGCTGGCAGCTCCATCCTCAGAACCATGGTGGCTCACAGCTGGGTGGACCTTGGAGCTCTGTCACCAAGACTGAGTCCCCCAGCGTCAGGCACCTGCTCACCTCCTCCACGTACTCGGTGCCCACGGCCTCCGTGTCTCCAGGGCCTCCTCTGGTGGCCTCTGTCCTGAAGTGTGATGATGGCCTGTCTCCAGGTCTGTTGTGCACTGCCTGCAGCTCTGGTGGTCCTGCTGGAAACCGTGGTCGGCTGTAACCTCAGGCTTACCCCATCCTCCCCACCCGCCACAGGACTCTAAACACAGAGGGCTAGCTGGCCACTCCCTCTCGTGGAGACTATCGTGGGCCACACAGAATTCTGCAGCCACGGAAGGGCAGGCCGTAATGTCACACAAGGCAAGTCTGTGTGATGTGGTGTGGATGGGTCACCTCGAGGGACAAGTGACCTTCCATTCAAGCAAGCTGTCACAAAACTGGTGGCACACACCTGGAATCCTACGCTCAGAAGGATGAGGCAGGAGGATCATCAGTTCCAGGTCGCCATGAGTTACATAGTGAGATCCTGTCTCAAAACCTAAGAGCTGGCAGGGTGTGGTCAGGCACGCCTTCAATCCCAGAATTTGGGAGGCAGAGGCAGGAGGCTCTCTGTGAGTTTGAGGCCAGCCTGGTCTACAGAGTGAGTTCCAGGACAGCCAGGGCTGCACAGAGAAACCCTGTCTTTAAAAACAAAACAAAACAAAACAAAACAAAACAAAAAACCAAAAAAAAAACCAACAAGAAACCCCTGCACCTAAAAATCCAAAAGCTGGGGGCGGGCTCGGGGGTGGAGCTCCTGCCTGGGTTCCCGCAGTGAAGGCACAGGGTGCATCTGTTCACATGTACAGAACTGGAGAGACTGGTACCCTTGTGTGAGGCTGCTGGTCCCTTGGCTGGTGCTGGCCGGCCTTGGGTGTATGAGCTGTGACCGGCATGTGCTTCACGCTTGACTGAGGTCTCAGGGGCGCCGTCCGAACCTCGGGTGTGGGTGACACTCTGTAGTGTGGGCTCAGAGGGAATGGGCTTCCCTAGCCTGCTGTGCAACTTGAAGACCTGCAATGGACCCCACAGCATGTTTGGGAAACAAACAGTGCACCTCACACTGAGCAGGCTGCTGGAGAGAATGTGGCGGTGTGCCCCGGTGTCTATACTCTGTGGAAACTTCCCTCTCAAAAAAAAAAAAAAGGTTCTGGAGCCACCTCCTGCCTGTGGTCCCATTTCTCAGATTTGGCACACACACACACCCTCCAACACTCACACCAATGTCCTCGATCTATATGCTGGTCGTCTCTCTGGCTCCCATGCTGTAAACTGTGAACATGTGTACATGGCTGTGTGGTTTGGGGAACCCCAGCTCTTGCTCTCCCACTCTCTCTCTCTCTCTCTCTCTCTCTCTCTCTCACACACACACACACACACACACACACACACGCTCCTGGCTATAGCCAAACTCCGGCTACAGGGCCATCACCTGAGGTCTCCTCCACGTCCAGCCACATCAGTGTAAGTTAACATGGTCCCATTGGGGCGCCCTCTCCCACCCTACCACCTCCTGGCACCTGCTTGGAGCTGACTGCTGGAACACTCCTACCTTCTGGTGCCTGGCTCCCCTCATGTGGGCAGCGTAGGCATCTGCCCCTGTGCAGGACACGGCGCACAGGCCACAGTGGAGGCTCTGGGATCCTTTAGGACCCCCGCTGGGCTGTGTGCCGGTCCTCTGAGCCGCCTGCTTCTTCCGGTGCTTCTGCCCTTCCAGGTGGTCCCGGTAGGTCTGGAACACAGAGTGGGGAGCCCTGCTGGAAGGCTTACCAGAAACCACACTCATCTGCAGGCTGCACAGATGGCTAGCAGGAGCTCAGAGGGACACAGGGTCCCTGGCTTCCTCTGCCACTTGTGCCCTAAGTTACAAGAGTCACAGCCTGCAGGACACATCAACGTCTCTTTTCCCTGACCTAAATAAACTGCAGCCAGGATTTTCAAGGAAACATTCACCAAGGGTCCTGTGCGTCTTGTACCAGTCCAGGAGGCTGTCCCCAAACAAAACCTGACTTTTCCAGGCTACGACTAAAGTTCAAGGACAAAGGCATGAGTTCTGTCCCCAGGACCTCAGGAGCTTCCAAGTCCTCTGAGGACCTAGAAGGTGGAAGCAGGAGAATTAGGAGTTTAAGGTCATCCTCAGCTGTACAGCACAAGACCAGCCTGGGCTGCAGGAGAGGTCTCACTCTTAAAACACAAAGCCAGCTCGGGCTCTGAGTGGTGACGCACACCTTTAATCTCAACACTTAGGAGGCAGAGGCAGGTGGATCTCTGAGTTTGAGGCTAGCTTGGTCTACAGAGCGAGTTCCAGCCAGGATTACACGGAGAAACCTTGTCACACACAAAAAACTACAACAACAAAAACAAAACAAAAAAACAAAACAAACCTAAAACAACAACAACAACAAAAACAGGGCTGGAAAATTGGCTCCCTGGTTAAGAGTAAGGTTTAAAGGGCTCCAATACCCTCTTGTGGCCTCTCTGGACAAGGCACGTGGTGCACGGACTTGGATAACATTTACTCTTAAAAAGAGAGTAAAGAAAAAAAAAAAAACCCACCGGGCGGTTTAATCCCAGCATTTGGGAGCAGAGGCAGGCAGATTTCTGAGTTCAAGGCCAGCCTGGTCTACAGAGTGAGTTCCAGGACAGCCAGGGCTACACAGAGAAACCCTGTCTCAAAACAAACAAACAAACAAACAAACAAAAAACCCTTTCAGAGCCACCTGGAGAATGTGACAAACATGCAGACAGCTGCAGGCACCTGATTTCACAGAGCTCTCCCACATGGGGGCTCTGCAGAAGAGGAACCCACAAATCAGGGCCACATCTGGGCTTCGGGGTCCACAGAGCCAGACCACTCGGCCTGTTCTTAGAATTGTGAAAGCTAGGCCAGCCATGGCCAAACGCCTAGTTGTGGGCAGAGGACCGAAGACCGCCCAGAAACAAACAGAGCTGTTCCGGGCTGATGGGGGGATTAAAGTGAAGAGGGTACCACGTTAGGAGGGTTGCATGCTCAAGGCCAGCTTTGACTACAGAGGAAGAGCGTGATACTCTCGATATCAAACCAGTGTGTGCACGCCCGTGTGTCTGTGTGCGTTTGTGTGTTGTGTGATGTATGCATGTGTGTGTGCGGGTGAGTGTGTTGCCAAGGCAAACTCTGACCTCAGGGATCTCTGGAGACAAGCCTATGTTTGACAGGTTATTTCTCAGTGCTTTCTTCTCCACTCCATTTTTTTATACATTTAACTTTAATTTTCTGTGTGGGGTGTTGCCTGTGTCTGTGCACTGCGTGCCTGATGTGGCCAGCAGGGGGTGCTGTAGTCACAGGGTCCGGGACCCGCCACGTGGGCCTGGGAACCAAACCCGGGTCCTGCCGAGGAACTGTGACAGAGGCTCACGGCCAGACTGGCCTTACACTCAGCACGTAGTCAAGGATGGCCTGAACTCCCCATCCCCCTGCCTCCACTGCAGTGTGACAGGTCCGCACCGCGGCGCCTGCCACACCTGCCACTACAGTTTTTGGTGGACGGTGAGCTGTCCGGCTGCCGGTCCTGACCTGCGGCCCCGCGCAGCTGACCCTGCAGACCTCGCAGTAGTGCATGGAGGGCGGCCTGGGGCCCGCCTTGGGCTTCGGCAGCCTGTCCAGGAACGGCAGCGCGTCGCTGGTAAAGGTGGGGTCCCAGGGCCCGAGGACAGGGCCACCCCACGGGTCCGAGCCTACGGGAGACCGCGGCGGGGACGGCGCCTGCAGCTTCTGCGGGGCCCGCTGGGAGGAGGGCGTTGGACGCTGCGGGCCGGGCGAGTCCGGGCTGCGGGAACTTGGTCCTGGGAGGGAGAGACGGGGGGGGGGGGGAGGTACAGACGCAGCCAGGCTACCCCGGCAGCAGGTCCACAACCTGTTTAACCGCACTGCAGCCCAGGCTGGACCCCGGTGACCTAGGTGGCTGTGGCGCCAGGACAAATCTCAGGCTGGCGGCTCAGCCTTCCCCTGCAATGGCTGCAGCTCAGATGGCCGGATCTCAAGGAAATTTTAAACCTGGGACTAGAGCTGGCAAAATGGCTCTGCAGATAGAAGTGCTTGTGGCCAAGCCTGAGGGCCTGAGCTCCATCTCTGGGACCCACGTGCCCAGCCTCCCCCGACCCCCACCCCGTCCCCCTGGCCGGCACAGGTCTGTCCTTGTGTGTCCCGTGCAGACTCACGTGTGGCCCCTTGTGCTGTCTAAGCAACCCTCCAACCAGACCGTGCTTCCCAGCCCCTCAAAGAATCCCCTCAGCCCACCTGGCCTGCAGAGCGACCTGGCTGGCCACTCCCGTGAGTCTGTGCGGCTCTTGGTTGCCTTCTCTTGGCAGCTGTGACCATCCTCCTGGAGGGTTCCATGGGACAGGGACATAGAGAGAAAAGCAGCTCAGGGAGGGGGGCGGGACGCTGGGGGAGGGCAGTGGGGTGGGCACCGCTGGAGGCAGTGCACAGCAGCTGCCCTTAGGGTTGGAGCCTGCTCATGCAATGCCATGTTTGATGAGACACTCTGTCATAGGCCAGGCCAACCTCAAACTCTCCACTTAGCCAAGGATGATGTGACTCCCTGTCTTTACCTCTGGGATGCTAGGAATACACGAGTTGTCCCTAGGCCTGGCTTATGTAGCTAGTGCTGGGGACACAAACAAAAGCTCTGTGTGTTCTGGCTGAGTATGCTAACCACTGAGCAACATTCCCAGCCATTGGGAAAAAAATCACTTTGCTTATTAATTTATTGTGAGTGCACATGTGCATGTGTGAGCACGGGGGCAGGGCATGTGTCGCAGCATGCATGTGGAAACCAAGAAGACAGTTTGTGGGAATCAGTTCTCTCTTTCTACCATGTGAGTCCCAGGGATCAAATGCAGGCTATCAAAGTCAGCAGCCAGTGAGTGCCTTTACCTCCCTGGGCACCTGCCAGCTCCCTCCCTCTTTCCCTCCCTCCCTCCTTTTCTTTCTTTCTTTCTTTCTTTTTTTTTTTTCTTGTTTGTTTTGGTTTGGTTTTGGTTTTGGTTTTGGTTTTTCCAGTCAAGATCTCTCTGTGTAGCCCTGGCTGTCCTGGAACTCTCTCTGTAGACCAGGCTGGCCTCGAACTCACAGAGTGCTGGGATTACAGGTGTGTGCCTCTATGCCTGCTTGTAGTTTTGCTTTTTGAGGCACTATCACCCAGGACTACCCGCCCCCATAGACAGTGATCCTAAGCAATCCATCTGACACTTAATGACAGTGACACAGGAATGAAAGACAGAAACCAGGAGCAGGAGAGAAGGAAAAGGAGCCGCCGGTGCCCCTGCCACAGAGCAGCAGACCCTCCTTGACAGGTGTGGGGCAGGTGGCCCACCTGGGACACTCCAAATGCAGCTGCCCATGGGGGTGAGCCATTTCTTTGTCCCTGGGACCTAGTCACTCTGCTGCCCTTCAGAGCAATGGCCCACAAAGCCCAGGATAGCTGAGAACGGCACAGCTGCATGGAAGGGGGGGGGTCTGACCTCCTCCTGAGCCCCATCACAACCCTCCTGCTCACCCCCTACTTGAATAAACTCCCAGCTCTGCTTCACAACAGCCAGGCTCCTAAATTCTTCTCAGCGTGGAGGCCACAGTCCCAGTTTGGCCTGAGTCTAGACACCCCAAGTATTGGCACTAAGTCAGGGATGAAAGGTGGGTGTCCCAGGTATGGTTGTGGGAGGGGACTCTCAGTTCCAGCACCCCAGGACAGCTGCCTGGTGGAGGAGACTCTCCTAGAGCCACTGCAGGCTCCTCCTAGGAGCTGCACCAGGCTGGGCCACAGCTCTGCACACTTCAGCGCCTCCAGATAGCTCTGGGCTCCTTGGGAGGTGTCAACATGGCTCTGTCACTCCAGAGCATGTCTTGTCCCTAGACACTATGACACAGCTGAAAGTCAGGGTCATCATGCATGCCCCATGCACACTAACACATTCCCTGGTGGTAGTGGGGACTTGGAGACGGGTTACATCAGCTGCTCTCAGAGGATCTAAGTTCAATTCCCAGCACCCACTCAGTGGTTCACCAGTCTGAACCCCAGCTGCAGGCCATCTGACGCCCCTTTCCGGCCTCCACAGGCACTGCATGCACATGGTGCAGACACACATGCAGGCAGCACACTCATGCATGTAAAAACTGAACTACAGTCTTGTTGCATGGATGGCTGTGGTACCTGGTGGGAAGACACAGAGGTAGGCACAGGACCCCGGGGTCGGCTGCTGGATGTGGGGCCCTGGCTGGTGTGGGGCTGGGAGCAGCTGTACCCCACTGCGACTCCTCCTCCAGACGCAGGCGGATGGCTGGCAGGGGCCAGGGCCAGGCTGGCGGTGCTCTCCATTCTGGGGGTAGACTCTACAGTGTAGCCGGCCCCGGTAGCTGGGAGTGGTAGAGTGGAGGACAGCTGGGGGCTAGAGCCACCAGAACACAAAAGAGAGGGTGGGTTAGCTGGGTCCCTACCGTACCAGACCCCTGGAGCAGGCATTGGGCCAGGTCAGCCCCTCAGTGTTATGGGGCCAGACCAGAACCACTGTCCCCGGAGCTTGCACTAACAATGATATGGTAGCAAGCCCCGGATATCCTTTTGTGTCTGTCTCCCCAGCATCAGGAGCATAGGTGTGTGTCACCATAACCACTATTTTACATGGGTGCTGGGGACGTGAACGTGGGTCTTCACACAGATGCACCATGGACTTATATCAACTGCAGTGTTGTCTCCCCTGCATGGCTTGATACCCCACCACAGCCCAAGAAGCCAGGGTAGTTGTTTCCACTTGCAACCAGGTGTGGTGCTGCAGGCCTGCTATCCCCGCTGTTCTGGGATATTTTTATTTTGTGCATATGGCTGTTTTGCTTGCATCGCTTGTGTGGCTGGTGCCCAGGGGCCAACAGAGAGCTCTAGACTCCATAACTGAAGGCAGAGACAGTGACTCACCCTGCACCCTCTGCAAGGGCCGCTGCTCAGAACCGTCATCTCCCCAGCACTCCCACTGCCTCAGCTGCTGGGTAAATGGCACCAACAGCCACCAGGTATGGCTGTCTGTACCATGGAAGCCCTCTGGAGATTCTGAGGGCTCTTGTGGTGCTAATAATCGGACCCAAAGCTGCATACTCTACTCACTGGGAGTGGCCCCAGCGGCAGTTTAGAGAAATCCCTGGCTACCTGAGACACATCAGAGAATCTGGGTGGGACCAGGAGATGTCTGAGGTGTGTGACATTCTACTGTGAGTTCCCTGTATCTATAAAAATTCGTCCCAGCTGAGGGTTCCCAGGTGTTTGTCCATGGGGATCCTGAGAGGCCAGAAGTTACCACCATGGTGAGCACATCCAGAGCTCAAAAACTGGGCCTAGACTGGAAGCTTCCAGAGGTGGGTGCCAGGTGACACCTAAAGGCCCAGCTGCTGCTGGCTTATGGGGTCGTGGTCTTGGTGACAGAGGTGTCTGGAGTGTCTCCAAGGGTCAGGGAGTGGACACATGTTTTCCTGAGTAGCTTCATGTCAAGTCACCACAAAGGCAGCCTCAATTGAGAAAAATGCCTCCACAAGATGGAGCTGGAGGCAAGCCCGCGGGGCACTTGTGTAATCGGTGATCAGTGAGGGAGGGCTCACACACTGAGAGTGGGGCCAGCCCTGGGCTGGGCTCCTGAGTTCTACCAGCAGGCTGAGCGAGCCGGGAACAGGCCAGGAAGCAGAGCCCTGCCCCCCATGGCCTCCGCAGGTATCAGCCCCTGCCTGCTCTCAATGAGATAGGGGTGAGAGGCGTAAGCCGAGTCCCATGTTTTCTGCCCGGCTTCTGGCTGTGGGGCTTCACCTGGTGAGAGGAAGCCTGACTAAGACAGACTGCTGGCAGAGTCATGAGGATGCACGGAGACAGACTTGACCGTGTGTGAACACTTGAAGGGCTGAGTGCTCCCAGCTTAGTGAGCTGTCAGGAGAATTAGGGACATGCTCCCCCAGATGGTGCCTGATGGAAGTCGGGCCTGGGAGGTTCGAAGGGAATGAAGACCACATGGGGGCCATTTGCAATTCTGAACTAAGTCTGTGGTTCTGCTCAGCCTGAGTGAAAGGCAGAAGAGACCAGCGTCACTGAGGTGAAGTCTTCTCTGGCAAGTGTCTCCTGAAGGTTAGCACACAGCTGTGTTCCAGAGGTAGCCAAGGCTGGACCTCAGGCTGGCAGCTTAGTAATAATCACCCAGGTGGCACTGGTTTTGAAGGTCATGAAGAGCGGCTGAGGCTTGGCACTGAGAGGCCGGGAGAGCCACTGGTGATGGTGCAGCCACAGTGGCAGTTGGTGGCCCCAGAATGAACGGGTCATGCAAAGAAGTTAAGGCTTGGCACCATGAGGGATCCTATGAGAGGCTCTTGGCGAAAGTGCAGCCCAGTTACACACAGAGATCACAGTGTTCTGGAGATGCCACTACCGTGCATGACCACCAAGACCAGAAGCAGCAGCGGAGCAGAGCCGGCCAGAGCTTAGAAGACACGCTGTGTGTGCTACAGGGGGAAGAGCCCCAGAGGAGCCCAGATAACTGGATCCTGAGTTATCTACATGGGTGGGATTGCTTTTGTCTTGCCCCACTTTTGACCATGTCTTGGTTCAGTCCTCTTGGAACTTACAGTTGAGAGATTTTGAATTTTTTGGAGATTTTGGGGTTTTACAGAGCAGATTTTTTAAAAAAGAAACTGAGTTTTATACCTTTAAAAAGATTTATTATTTTTGCCTTTTGTGTGTAGTTTCTTCGCCTGCATATCTGCCTGTACAAACGTGTACCTGGTGCCTGCAGAGGCCAGAAGTGGGGGTCAGGTCCCCTGCAGTCACAGGTGGTTAGGAGCTGCTATGTGAGTGCTGGGTACTGAACCCAAGTCCTCTGCAATGACAGCCAGTGCTCTAACCACTGGGTACCTCTGCAGCTCCAAAGAGACTGAATTTTAAACTGTTTGATTTATAAAGAAGTTAGTCATCATATGTTTTGTGTTGTGAATATTTATTGACAAGAGATCTCGAGGACTGAAGTTATTGCTAAACAGTGTCGTACTTCTGTGTCAATTTGACAAAGGTCAATTGAGCCCAACAGTTTTACCAACTTGGCAAAAGCTAAAGTCATTTCCTAGGAGGGAATCCAATTGAGAAAATGTCTCCGTAAGATCTGCTGCAGGCCAACCTGTAGGGCGTTTTCTCAATTAGTGGTCACTGAGGGAGGGCCCAGCCCGCTGTGTGTGGTCCCATCCTTGGGCTGTGGTCCTGGGTTCTATAGGAAAGCTGGCTGAGCAAGCCATGGGGAGCGAGCCAGTAAGCAGCGTCCTCCATGGCCTCTGCACCAGCTCCTGCTCACACGTTCCTGCCCTGAGTGAATCCCTTTCATGGTGATCTGAAAGTGTGAGCCAAACAAATCCTTTCCTCCCCAACTTGCTGCTGATTGGAGTGTTGTCTTTTCTTGTTTCTTTTTAACATTTGTATATCTGTGTGTGTTGTGCTATGCCCGTGGACTGGCCTGACTCACAGGCCTGGAACTCTGGTCCCCACAGTGACCGTCTCACCAGCTCTTGGCCCTAGTGTGTTCCAAGACACCCAGTGAAGAGGACACGTCCCCAGTTGCCAGCCCCCAACTCCTCACACACATCCGCCCCCTTCTTCCCGACTTATACTGACACTCATTTGTCCATTTATTTAGAGACAAGGTCTCCTTAAGTCACTCAGCCTGGCCTCATACTCACTGTAGCTCAGGCTAGCCTTGAACACACACACAAACACACACACTGCCTCAGCTTCTTCCCTCAGGATTGAAGGCCTGTGCTACTTGTCTGTCCCTGTACTGACTTCCAAAGACCAGAGCCTCACTTCACCCTGCCTGGCTAGGCGCCTCCATCCATTTAACACAGAACCCCAGACCCCATCCCCGTCTGGAGGGTCCTCCATCCGTCAGGGACCAGAACCCTCAATCCATACTCACCTGGAGGGTCCCCCATTCATCAAGGACTAGAACCCCAGACCCCAGACCCGTCTCGAGGGTCCTCCATCCGGCAGACACCAGAAACCCCAATTCTACCCATCAGGGGCCAGAACACCCCACCCTACTTCCGCTTGGAAGGTTCCCCAAGGTCTCAGGTCCTCTCTGAGGTCAGTCCCCTCCCCCAGCTCTGTCCTCCATCCTAGGTCCCCACCCTCCCCAGCCAGGTCGATCCTTCCCAGGCTGGCCCCATCCCCACGGGGTCCCCGCCCCCACCCAGCCTGTCACTCCCCGGGCTTCCCGCCCCGCCCTCCCTCGGACCCCAGGGACCGTCGCCCCGCCTCGGGCCCGCCCCGCTCCCCGTGACTCACGACCGAGACCTGCGGGGTTGGGGCGCCTCGCCGCCCACGGGGCTCGTTACCTGGACGACCGGCTGGTGCCCTGCGCGAGGCCGGAAGAGCTGCTGGCCGCCATGTCCGCGTCCTCCTGGAGCCCACGGGAGTGACGTCAGGGCCCTGCCCCCGACGCGATCTGGCCCCGCCCACTGGCCAGGCCCCGCCCCCGCCCCGCCCGGCGCCTCACTCAGGCGCCTCGGTGAGGCTGGAGGGGCGTCTTGGGAAGTCGGCTCCCCTCCGCCCCCGGCCTGCCATCCGCCACGCGGAGTCCCAGGGATCAGGGACCAAACTCCAGCCGTTGGGCTCGGCGGCCAGCTCCATCCCCTGCTGATGCACTGCCGCCCTCCTCATCTCTTCTGTGAAGCCAGGCGGTTGATTCCTGCACAGACAGCTTGGGAATCCCAAGGCTGAGAGGGCGGGTGGGTCGCACGTGATCGTCCTGAGCGTGTGTGGCCACCAAGGCTTATGGCTCTAGGTGTGTAGCCCACATCTTTCTAGAAGGCAGGGGGACTGTGGCAGTTTCTCTGAGTTACGTGTGATCTTCCCACCTATTATTTATTGAAAGCCCTGTGCCCTTGACTTTTGCCCCCGAGAGTCCCACAACAGCTTCCGACCAGTTCTAGAAGGGTGCATACTGATTTATCAGTACTAAAGGAAACACACAAAATGGACTAATACTCAGCCCAGAAGATGGAAGGAAACTCAGACACCTACTCCAACATGGATGGATGGCCCTTGAGGGCAGCATGTCAGCAACATGAGCCAGACACAAAAAGACACTCAGGCCAGGACCTCACTCCCACGAGGTTCCTGGAGTCCTCAGGCTGACAGACACAAGAAGTGGGATATAGGAAGTAGGTAGGTGATGGGATAGTGTGGATAGGAGTTACAGCCCATCAGGTGGATGAGCCTTGTGCCCGGGGAGAGCAGCCACACATTTTCCAAGGTGGGAAAAGCCTAGAACAAAGCCTCCCGCTCAGGGAGAGACAGCCTATTTGATCTACACTCACACGTGATTACGTGAATGTCGGAGATCCAAAAACACTGACAGCACAGGCAAAGGCCCTGTGGCAGGAAGGAACTTGATGAGCTCACAGGATGTGCAGGAAGAACCTCAGAGATCCACTACTATGTGGGGTCTTATATTAGTTACTTGGAAAAATAAGAATATACAGTAAATTGAATGGGGTAGGGGTTAAACCCTAAACATTTATTCTCTCACACTTTCAGGGACCAAAGTCTGGGCAGATTAGTTCTTTATGGGCACTGGAAAGATCCTTCTCTGCTCTTTTTTACTTCTGGTAACCTCTGGAAACCAACTGCAGTTCTCAGCTGCTAAATCAAATCGCCAGCTTAGGCTCCGTTTTTCCCCAGGACCCTTGCCATGCTAGGCAAGGCTCCACCCTCATACCCTCACTGGGGGACTTCACCTCTGCCCACACCCCACCCCTCTTATGTTTGTGGGTTGTGTGCATGTGTCAGTCCACATGCAGAGTGCAGAAGTTGACATTCATGGCTCTCTGGTCACTTCTCAGTTAGCCCCAGCCCCCTCCTGTGCCTGTTCCAGGCTGGGACTGCCGGTACACACAGCCACACTAGCTTTGATGCCCACCCCCTCCTCCCTGACATCTCCACACACCCCTGCTGAACCATCCCTCATGACCCCTCTCCTGACTTCTGAGATGGGCTCTCACCAACTTGCCCAGGCTGACCCTAGGCTCACTCCGTAGCCCGCCCTGGCTTTGAACTTGCAATCCCCCTGTCTCAGTGCTCCCAGTACTTGAGACCAGGATGCAAACTACTTTTCCATCGGACTGCAGATGCTGAGCTGCGAGCTGTCCATCTTTCCATCAGCTTCTAGAATTCCTCTGGGCAACTGCAGGGGGCGCTGCTCTGTGGCGCAGACCCAATAAATCTAAAACAATCAGCCAGATTCGCTGCATCCCAGCATCCAACCTAGTCCTGGGTGAATGAGAGACCCTTTGACTCACCCTCCATTTCTCTGCCCTCAAAGATGGTTTCAAGGGTGTCTCTTCCCCCATACCAAAGAGCCCCGCCTCCATTCTGTAAGAGCCAGCCCACGGCTGTTTGTCCGTGTATTTATTTTCTTTTGTGGTTTTGCTTAAGTGAGCTGCACCATCTCACCATCTCAGAGGTGGTTTTTTTTTTTTTTCTCTCCCCCTGGGCACGGCTGGGAGAGATGCTTTCCCCTCAGCCAATGGAAGAGGAGGATGCAGGCAGGGATGCTGGAACTGTCTATCAGGCCTGGGCCCGCCCCCTGCACACAAAAGCAGCTTCCTCCACTATCTGAGGGCAGACAGACCTCAGCCATCAGAAAGGGAAAAGCCAGAGCCGCCGCAGGCCTGGGCTGCGATGGCGGGGGACACGGAGACTAAAGGAGGACAGGGGTGCTGCTACTAACCCACGGCGCTGCCTTCTACATCTGGGCTGGACAGGTGTGCCGTGGCCACGTTGCCCTGGTGACCTTCCTTGGATGTAGACTCGGCCCTGAGCGTCCTTCCACCAGGCCCCTCGCCTGGGTACCACCGAGAAATGCCCGCCTTTGTGTCCAAGTGACAGCTCATAGACAGCCGCCGCCACCGAGGTGAGTGGGCCTTTTGCAACCTGAAAATTTAAATTATCATTTGTCCCTTGCTTCCAGCCCAGCTATGGAAAGGTTTACTGGGGAAACGCTGGCGGCACCCCAGCGCGGATGCTGCGCCAGCCAGGAGGGTCGGGGGTGGGGTGAAGGGAATGCAGAACCCAAGGATTAGAGCCCCAGTTCGCGGAGCATCCTGGGGGCGGTAAACCTCTCATCCTGTGTCGGGTGTTTTCTATTTATAATACTGACTGCGGTCTTGGAGAAATCAGCATTGCATATACATTTAAAAGGGTGGGTTTTTTAGCACTGGTTACCGGCCAGGACCTGCACTGTTTATCCTGGATTTTTGGGGGTTCCTGGTCTCTTGCTGTCACCTGGCATCCACTGGACACCCACCACACCCAGAACTTGGAAGTGTGTAGATGAGGGGGGTACTTTCCTGGTCACGGGGGTCATGGAGGACCCATGTCACCTCCCTGCACAGACACAATGGATTTGACTCAGTGCTTGGGGAGGCCGGCTGCTCACCCCGTGTTGGGGACACACTGGGGGACAGTTTTTTTCTCTGCTGTGTCTTCTTCATGAATGGGTGATGACATTCAAGTGGGCCCCGCCTCCCCTGGGCTCCAAATCGCCCAGGCGCTGTCTCAGCTGCTGGCCATCATCTACTGGCTGGTGAGACACACCCCAGCCACCAGCCCCACATGGCTGCGTGAGCATTGACTGCTGGGCCAGACAGTAGCCCTTGTCACCGGATCAGGGAACTGACTAGGGGTGACATGGTAGTAAGCCCAAGTCTGGACCCTGGAATCTTGTTGTCAACATGGAAATAAAAACACAATGTAGCAGACATGATCCTGGTGGTGCCAGGGTTTAGTTCGGGGCGTCCCTAGTTGTGTGTGTGTGGGGGGGGTCTGTCCTTCCAACATGAGCTGCCAACATGAAGTGCTTCCATCTGACAATCTGGGGAGTCTCCACGGCACACCACGCTGTCCAATGCCTTGCCGGTGAGGGAGGTGGAAGAACCGACCCAGTTGTAACTACCGGTTCACAAACCAGACAGACCTGCAAGGGCTCACCTTGCAACAGGACTCAAGTCTGAGCTACAGCACTCTGGTGGCTTCTGGGAGCACAGAGCTGACACCTGTTGACCCGGTTGCTGCCTGGGACCCACAGACCTCCACATTGTCCTCTAACCTTCCTGAAATAGCCAAAGAAGTACCAACACCGCACACAGAAAATAGATAGCTAATTGTAAAGGTGATTAAACTGGTAATGGTGGTGAACAGCTTTAATCCTGGCGCTCGGGCAGAAGTGGGACCACAGAGTGAAGTTCAGGAGAGCCAGAGCTATACAAAGAGAGTCACAGACAGACAGACAGACACACACAAATGCACACCTACAAAGATAACCACAGCTGGGGCTGGAGGAGTGGTGGCTCAGTAGTTACAGCACTGGCTGCTCTTGCAGAAGACTTGGGTTCAATTCCCAGCACCCACATGGCAGCTTATAACCCAATTCTAGGGGATCCAACACCTCTTTTGCCCTCCAAAGGTACAAGCACATAGTGCACAGACATCTATGCAGGCAAAACACATACATGCAACATAAGTCTGGAACAACAAAAAAAAAAGAATCTCAGCCCTATGGAAGCTAAGACCGGAGGTCCCAGGACTCAGGTGCAGAGAGCCTTTGCCTCAAAATGTATGTCAGAGAGTGACAAAGACACTGACTGGTGTTGACCTATGACCTCCATCTAAATGTGCTCACTGTGCATACACACAATTGATTTTTTATGGAGTGTGGGAATGAGAGGTGACAGGCTCAGGGGCTATGACCTATTCATCCCATTAACTGACAGAGAAACTGAGGCACTGACAGGTGAAATGCGGAGGTCAGGACCTAACCTGGCAGCCAGTTCTCTCTTCCACTAAGTACGTCCTGGTAGCTGGTCTTTGCTTCTTTGTGGGTTCTTCTACCTTTTATCCTCCCAGTCCCCCACCCCTCATCACTAGACAGAAGAGGAACAAGGTTACAGGAGAGACAAAACAGGAAAATCCTTGAACCTAATGTCTTCTCTTTTGTGTCCTCTTCCACCCTGGCTACTAACAAACCACAGCCCACCCATCCCATCTCAGGGCCTTAACATCAATATATTCTCTGAAAGGTCCCCAGAATTCCAAACATCACGCAATCTCAGAAACTACCAGCAGCTGGGAAACCACGCCTCTGCTAGAGCACGAGGCAAATCACAGTCAGCTGCTGTGGACAGCCTGAAGCAGCCGCACATCCCACACCTGGGGTTACAATGAAAACACATTCTTGTAATATTTCTTTTTCTCAAAGAAACCAAAATTCCAGAGTTCTCACTACATTTCCCCCCTTCTCTTTTAAGGCATTAATTACGTTGTGTGTAGAAGGAAATTATAAACAGAGACATTTTCATGAAATAAGTGATATCTTGGTCAGTGGCCAAGGTTTTCAGGATATGTCTCTGGCTCAGTTCTAATCTTTATCAGGTTGGATGGTGTCCACAGCTTTTCTTTTCCTGTAGAAATACAAACAAATCCATGCCTGAATGCAACACATTTGCAGGCTTTTATTCCCACATTAACACAGCCTTATAACACACAGGCTGATGTAATCCTACAGTTTTTTCCTGTGACCCAGAGTCTTGGCTGCTGTGACTCCTTCTCAGTAACATGCAGAAGATTTAAAGTTAGCAGAGAACTATCAATTCTGTCTCTGGGATTTAAATTATTTTTCTCTTTGTTAGAAATGGCCTGTAATGTTTGCTGCAGGGCCTCAAGCCAGGTCCCCAAGGCCCTGTCTCAATGGTAAGAAATTACCTCGAGGGGCTGGAGAGATGGCTCAGCAGTTAAGAGCACTGACTGCTCTTCCAGAGGTCCTGAGTTCAAATCCCAGAAACCACATGGTGGCTCACGACCATCTGTAATGGGATTGAATGCCCTCTTCTGGTGTATCTGAAGACATCAACAGTGTACTCATATATAAAATGAATATATCAAAAAAAAAAGAAGAAGAAGAAAGAAAGGAAAATTACATCTTTTTTTTTTTTTTTAAAGAAGTTACCTTGACCATCTCTCTTGGATCTACATGCAGTGGTCCATTGGCCACCCTTGCCACATGCTCTGCACACCCCCTGGAAGCCTAGGCCTTCTTTCTGATTTATATTAGAAAAGTCAGTGTCCTCAGAGATGCTTGTTCTCAGGAATAATTCTATTTTGAGTAGCCCAGTTATTTAGAATTTGTTTCACATAAGGCAAACGCATCCCATATGGAATCACGGCCTCTTTAAAAGGCCGTAGATCTGTCGTTTCTATAGGACACCATCCTATCTCGTCATAACCTTATTCCCACCATTAGCAGGCTTATGCTGTATGAGCACTCGGAAAACTGATGGTGGTCTCCTAACCCCAGGCTACCCCTTCCCTGACTCTGGCAAGTGGTTCTAGATTAACCCTTTCTTTCCAAATGGGCTGTTTCATCAGCCTGTCTTCTGGCTTGTCCAGCTTTTCTCTGACCCGACCTTCCTCTGGTGAAGTTTTTCCCCTCTCTTCGCTTGCAGGAAAAGCCTGCTCTCTCTCTCAGTCACCCAGACTGAGTCTTGCTGTTCTTTCTGGTGCTCCTCGCTTCCCAAACACTTCCATCTCCACCCTCAGCCTCTCCAGCAGCACCACCAACTCTACAACCCTTCAGAAAAGAGAGTAAAGTGTCCTCTTTTGTTTTTCCAAAATTTCAGCCTTTTTTTTTTTTGTTGCTGTTTCTTAGGCTTCTCCATTTCCACCTGCAATTTTTCCAACTGCTCAGCCTTTCTTCTAACCTTTTTTGAAACAATATAAGAATAAAAGAAAAAAACCCCAGAAATTCCCTTCTGGTAGCAAAGCAGGGGATATCCCAGTGGTAGCAGCTGCAATAAATGTTTATTGACATCTTGGAAAAAAAATCTCTGTCTTCATCCCCTGCGGTTTCCTCTACAGCACTTGGAATCAATGTTTCCAGTTTTTTCTTTACAGAGCCCCACATTGGGCAACACTTGTAGCTGGCCTTTGCTACTTTATAGGTTCTTCTTTTCCCCCGTTCTTTATTCCCCACCCCACCCCCAGTTTCACTCCACCAGTAAATAGAAGAGAAAGAAGATGGGGGGGGAGGGAAAAAGAGAAGAGAGACCCTTGAATCCAATTTCTTTCTTTTTGCTTCTTTTTTAGCCACGACTACTAACAAGTCACAACCCAACCACCCCATCTCAGGGCCCTGGCATTTATATATCCTCTGAAAAGTCCTCAAAATTCCGAAGGTCACACAATCACTAAAACTACCTGCATCTGGGAAAACCTTGCCCCTGCCAGAGCACGAGGCAAATCTTAGTCAGCTGCTGTGGACAGTCCAAAGCAGCCCCACAGCCCATACCAGGGATTAAAGTGAAAACATAGTTTTACAATATTTCTCCATTTTCCAAAGAAACCAAAATTCCAGAATTCTTATTATAGGTCTTATGATCGAGTTGTGGTGGCTGCTGCCCTTTCTCCAGTCCAAGACTGAGACGGAAGGAGGGGGCAGATGACCTGGATCAGATAGAAGCCGGTCAGAGAGAAGTCCCTTTTAGAAAGTGCCAATCATAACGGAGAAAATGATCCCGACAGTCATTCATATTAAAGTATGAATGAGGCTGCTGGATTCTGTTTGTTTTTTCAAGATGAGGTTTCCCTGTGTAGCCATGATTGTCCTGGAACTCGCCATGTAGTCCAGGCTGCCCTTGAACTCAGATCTGTCTGCCTCTGCCTCCCGAGTAATGAGATTAAAGGTGTGCACCACCACTGGCTGGCTGTGCGGTTTTTTTTAGGCTTGTTTTGTTTTTAATTCCTCCACAGTTGAGGTTGGTGGAGAAGGAGGGAAAATGCGTTATCTTGGGTTGGGGCTGCTCTGCAGATGGATTTGAGAGGTCCCAGTGGAGGGGGCTGTATCTAGAGGCTCAACTCTTCGCCTGAGTTCATACACAGGTGGTGATGTCCTAAGCCCCATGTGTGCTCATCTGTGAGACTGAATCCTACTCCTGTAAGATGGGCCAGTCAAAAGCTCCACACATTCGCGTGTCGGAGGTGGGAGGCCATAATCGTGGCTGTCTAGTTCAGTCTGCTCTTTCTTCTCCAGACCATCTTCTAGGTCACCTAAGCTTCCAGACGGCTTCTCTTTCCAGCTCTCATGGGGACCACAGAAGCTACACTAAGGATGGAAAATGTGGACGTGAGGGATGAATGGCAGGATGAGGACCCGCCCAGGTGAGGGCGCCAGCCTTCCTGTCTGTCATTGGGTCCGCGGGGCACTGCTGTCAGAAGCAGCGATTTCATTTATGATGGTGTCAGAGCCTTCTGGAAGCTCTTCTTCCAAGACTACCAGACAGGGAATTCTTGTAGCCAGTGAAAAGATGGACGGGGACCAATGATGGAAGGGGATGTCTCAGCGGACCTATGCCGAGGCATCTCTTCCCCCACACGACGGTATAGCATAAGACTACAGTTTATTCAGGGCATGGGGAGGGGAGCCAAGAGGGTAGTAGAGGCAGAGAGAGAGAGAGAGAGAGAGAGAGAGAGAGAGAGAGAGAGAGAGAGAGAGAGGGGGGAGGGAAGGGGGGAGGGGAGAGGAAACAGAGAACCTGCAGGCAGAGGGATCAAGGGGAGCAAGAGAGAGGAGGGGGCAGGCAGCCCCTTTTATAGTGGGCAGGCCTACCTGGCTGTTGCCAGGTAACTGTGGGGAGGAGCATACCTGGCTGTTGCCAGGTGACTGTGGAGGTGGAGTTTAGACAGAATCTTAACAGCCAGGCTGGGTGTGATGACTAAGTCTCACAGCTCAGCTCCCCACAGAAAGAGCCAGAGAATTAGTTCAGGCTAACCTGAGCTTGCAGAGCAAGACCCTGTATCAAATAACAAAGGAGCATGGTCAGGGATGGAGCCGTGCCTAAAATGCCCAAGTGAACGTCTAGGGGCGTGGTCAGGGGTGGAGCATTTGCCTAGATTCCCCCAGTGAGGGGCTGGGAGCGTGGTCATAAATGGAGCCCTTAGTGAGGACTGGGGGCGTGGTCAAGATGGAGCTCTACCTACAATCCCCCAGTGAGGGGCTAGGGGTGTGGCAGGGGTGGAGACCCCACCTATAATTTCTCCCTTCACCCTCAAAAAGCTGGAGCTTGGTCAGGGATGGCCTGCTTAGAATCGACCAGTGAGGGTCTGGGGTGTGGTCAGGGGTGGAGCCCTGCCTAAAATCCCCCAGGGAGGATTTGGGGCATGATCAAAGGCAGCGTAGCAACTTATAGACTAGCCTGAGCTAAATGAAATACTATTTTGAAAAAACAAGTCCTGGGGAGATGACTCCCAGGGTAAAGTACTTGCAATAATATCTATGAGGATCTAATTTTAAGCCCTAGACCCCTGGGGAAGAAGCCAAGAGGCCATTTGTGACCCTGAGGAGGTGGAAAAGTGGGGTCCTGGAGCTTGCTGACCAGACAGACTAGTTTAGTGTGAATGTCCTGGCCATTGAGAGGCCCCTTCTCAAGAACAAATGGAGACAAAGTGCTGGGGACTGGCTCTAATGCTCTGTCTTATTCCGGCTCCCAAAAGCCTCACTTCCAGACATGAGGCTCCCTGCCCCAGAGGCCTTCATTGATGGTAAAGAACTGCCATGCAGCCAATGGGTGGGCAGGGAGACAGGGTGGGACTTTAGATTGTGTGTGTGTGTGTGTGAGAGAGAGGGGGGGGGGCAGAATCGCCTTGATGAGGAAGCAGACAGATTAGAGCCGCAGGAAAGAACCAAACCAGCCGTGTAAGAATTTGGGAAAGTGGCCACAGGGGCTACTTCCCCGATTGGGTGATTGGGTCTGGGGTAGCAGAGATGAAATATAGATTTTAAAAGATGTTAATACAGGAATACCAGCGGGGACCTAGTGTGCTAGCCACAGGGAAATTTAGAAATGCCCAACCATTGAGCTGGACAAAGCATATCAAAATTAGCTGGGGTGTGTGTGTTTCATTAGAGAATCCAGAGAGCTGCTGGGCAGGCGCAGTGGGCGAGCTGCTGGGCGCCAAATCGGTTTGACTAACAACACAGTGAGCATGACGCTGACTTCCTTATACAGGAAGTTAAAAAGCAAATATGGCTGGCTGGTGGTGGCACACGCCTTTTACCCCAGCACTCAGAAGGCAGAGGCAGAAGGACCCCTGAGTTTGAGGCCAGCCTGGTCTACAGAGCAAGTTCCAGGTCAGCCAGGGTTACATAGTGACACCCCCGCTCAACAACAACAAGAAGCATTTTAAAATTTAAGAAAGGCAAAGATACGCATTACAGAATTAATGGAGATGGCTGGAGAGATGGCTCAGTGCATACGAAAGCTTACTGCTGTGTTGTAATTTCATGTTTGCACACACGTTTAATCCCAGCACTGGGGAGGCAGAGGCAGAAGGATCTCCGAGTTCGAGGCCAGCCTGGTCTATAGAGTGAATTCTAGGACAGCCAGGACTACAGAGAGAAACCCTGTTTAGAAAAACTAAAAAAGCCGGGCGGTGGTGGCACACGCCTTTAATCCCAGCACTTGGGAGGCAGAGGCAGGTGGATTTCTGAGTTCGAGGCCAGCCTGGTGTACAGAGTGAGTTCCAGGACAGCCCGGGCTACACAGAGAAACCCTGTCTCGAAAAACCAAACCAAAAAAAAAAAAAAAGAAAACAAAAGAAAAACTAAAAAAGACAACATATATCCGGAGGTTGGAAATCAGAGGACCGGGACAGAGTACGTGTCCGGCATGCAGGAAGTGCTGGCGTCCATCCTAGAAGCACACAAACTCACCTGTCATCCTGCAGCACTCAGAGGTAGGGACAGAAGAATCCTGGAGTTCAATCAAGATCATTCTTGGATACTTTGGGAGTTCTAGGCTCCCCTGAGTTGTGTGAGACTATTGACAAGAAAAGGCAAAGGTGTGATTTCTTTATAAGCCCCTGAGCCTGGCCTCGCTGGTCAGCAAGTGACATCCAGCTGTGCACAGCCAAGGATGTCCGTATCCAAGAGACCACTGGCAGTAAGTGTCCCCACCCATCTCAGGACAAATACTCCCTTGTGTCGTGCTATATCCACTTGGCCTAACAGGACCAGTCCAGCTGCAGCCTCACAGAGGCCGCTGTGTGCACAGCCTTTCAGGCAGGGATCCAGCCCGGGGCAGGGGTGTGTGTGTGTGTGCTCCATTCCCAGGGCAAAGTCCAATCCAGCAGGTCACTTGGAAGAGAGAGAGAGAGAGAGAGAGAGAGAGAGAGAGAGAGAGAGAGAGAGAAGTAGACAGAGACACAGAGAATGAGTGTGTGTCTGGTTACATTTGGGAACAGAGTTTCATGTAGCCCAAGCTGACTTTGAACTCTCTGCATAGCTGGGAAGGCCCCAGGAACAGGATGGCAGGTAGCGCTCAGCATGAGTGGTTTCCATGAAGCTGGGGTGGCGCCCCAGAGTCACTTATGCTGGGTCACAGCTCTGGCCCTCCTCGGCCTGATGTCAGTGAGTTCCTTTTTTGTTCTTTGTTTTTGTTTTGAGACAGTGTCACTGTGTAGCCCTGGCTATCCTGTAACTAGCTCTGTAGAGCAGGCTGGCCTCGAATTCAGAGTTGCTTGCCTCTGTCTCCTGAGTGCTGGGGTTAAACGTGGGTGCCACCTCTATGTGGTGACATCAATGTTTTCCAAATCCTCCTCACCTCATTTCTTTTGGGCATACTGAAAGGCCACATAGTGACACTCTGGAGCGTTACTAAGTACATAAAGTAAAGGTCATGAGCTCTCTGAGTCTGTGATTGTTAATATAGTCAGTCACCAACATGGCTACTGAGCTAACAGGACCATAGCAGACTCGGTGGAAGCCCTGGTCTACGCGGCAACTCGTGACAGGAAACATAGAATAGGATTTCACCGTGCTACTCACACAGTTGAAAACTGACTGGATGTTTATTTCTGGAATGTTCCATCCAATGCTTTTATTCCCAGTTGACCCACAGAGAGCAAAGCCAGGTAAAGGTAGATAAGAATCTTTCTTATTGCTGGGCGGTGGTGGCGCACGCCTTTAATCCCAGCACTTGGGAGGCAGAGGCAGGCGGATTTCTGAGTTCGAGGCCAGCCTGGTCTACAGGGTGAATTCCAGGACAGACAGGGCTGCACAGAGAAACCCTGTCTCAAAAAACCAAAAAAAAAAAAAAAAAAAATCTTTCTTATTTCATTTTCCCATGATCCCTGGTCAAGCTTCCAGATGATTCTGTGATTTCACCACCAGTGCTATGCTGTCCATCTTGAATGCCCTCTCCAGTCTCTGTAGCCCACTGGAAAGCTGAGGCTGAGGCTGGGAGGCAGAGGCAGGAGAATCTCTGAGTTTAAGACCAGCCTGGTCACCACAGTGAACTCCAGAGCAGCAGGCATACAAAGAGAAACTCTGTTGCAACAAAACCAAAACCAAAACTGGGTTAACTCTAGGGTGGTTCAGTGACTAACTCACTTGCTAGTGTGGGGACCTGACTTCAGATTCCCTGGGCGGTGAGCGTCTGGGTGAGGGGTGGGCTTCTGACCTCTGTGCTTCGGAGGCAGAGGCAAGGATTTTGGTTCATCACTCACCCAGCTGGACCAACCTAGCTGAATCGTGATCTCCAGGCCAGCAGGTGACTCTGTCTCAAAATACAAGGTTGCCCAGCAGTGTGACTCACCTTCGATCTAGCACCGGAGAGCAGCCGAGGAGTTAGCGTCTGCCACACATAGCAGAGGCTGGAGGTGTGGCTCCATAGTCCAGAACTTGCCGAATTTTTCATTCATTAGGTTTGAGATACGGTCTCAGGTAGCCCAGGCTGGCCTATAGTTTCCTATTCTGTCCCCTGTTATTATATTTCCAGTCTCACAAGAATATGCACATCTTTAATTTTTAATTCTTGTTTTTGAGACGGGGTCTCTCTGTGTAGCTCTGGCTGTCCTGGAGCTGACTCTAGACCAGGCTGGCCTCAGACTCACAGAGATCCACCTGCCTTTGCCCCCTGAGTTCTGGTATTAAAATTACAAACCATACCTCCATGAATTTTAATTTTTAAAATACTTATCTATCTATCTATCTATCTATCTATCTATCTATCTATCTATCTATCTATTTATTGTGGAGACAAGATCTCACTGAGACTGAGAAGCCGATGTCAGAGGATTGCCTGTTGGGGTTATCCTGAAGTACAGGAGTTACTGCTCTGTGCTTGCCACCCAGCAGAGAGCAGGGACTGAAGCTGAGGCCACAGATTCACTCTATGCAATGACCCTGAGCCCTGGTGTCCAGTTTTCTCTCTGTGAGATATGCTTCCTGCTGTTTCTAAGGTCGCCAAGAGGAGACAAATAGGATCATACCATGAAAGGCTTGTTGAAAGGAGTGAATGTTAGCTCAGGAGTAGGGCTCCTGTCCAGATCCCCCCCCCATTGAGGGGCTGGGCCCAAGGCTCAGGGGTGGAGCCCCTGCACAGAATAATACCCTAATAAAGGGCGGGGGCGTGTCTCTTCTGAAAGGCGTCCTTTTACGTGGGTGCTCCTGGAACTCTGTTCTGAGGGAGAGCAGAGTCTGGGGCATTACTGTCTTGATCTGACTGAATTTTCTTTTTTTTCCTCTCAACTCCCTTGGCTGAACCTGGCGCGGTCATCTGCATTCCTCCTGTTGCATTTTTGACGCTGCTCCCTGACGGCTTCCCAGACCACTCCCAGAAGACACCGGGGTGGAGCGGCTGAGTGGCACAGTGGAAGACTCCTCCTGTAAGCAAACAGAATGCAGACATGCGAGCGAGCTTGGTTTCAGGATGCGGAGGGTTGCGTGCAGGGTGGGGAGTCAGGGAGGGGGCTGTTGTGCACCAAGGCTGCCGCAGGGGTAAGAGCCCATGATTGAGAACCTCCACTCGAATATGGCACCATGTCTTCCTGTGCTCACTGCAGGTAACGGGCTTTCAATGCGGAGGCCGGGAAGGGTTAAATGGTGGGGTCGCTAAGTGCAGTGAACACCTGAGTTCAGGTTCCCAGAACCTGGAGGAGAGAAGTTTACATGCTGGAGCTTGATTTGTAATGCTAGTGCCGCACAGGAGGAGGCAGGAGGATGTCTGGGACTCACTGCCCCTCTGGTCTATCCTAGTCAGTGATGTCCAGATTTAGTGAGTGCCTCCATCTCAACAACCCAAGGTGGAGAGGGACTGAGGAAACTCCAGGAAGGACTCTGCCCGTGTACCCACACGCACCTGCACACACTTGGTTTTTTTTCAGTTACAAAATATATGTATTTAAATCCATGTCTGAGCATGGGTGTAGTTGCCCAGAGTCCCAGAACATGGAAAGGCTGAGGCAGGGGGTTGCCAGAAGTTTTAGGATGGCCTCGGCTGTGGAGGCAGATCAGGATGTATGGATAATGAACTCCTGAGGCTAAGAGGAAGAGTTCACCACTAGACGTTGCTGTGAAGAGACGCCATGGCCACGGTAACGCTTATAAGGGACGCATTTAATTAGGTCTGGCTTAGAGGATTCTCGTCATTGTGAGAAGCACGGGGTGTGCAGGCAGAGAAGGAGCTGGGAGTTCTACATCTCGATCCGTAGCAGGAACCTATAGTCTGCTTTTAAACATATCTATTTTCATATATTCTTAGTCATTTGGATCATAATCCTGCGTTGCTCTGGGTCTCCCCACCCAGTACAAACTAAGCTAGCTTTTCATCTGAGGTTCTTGGTTGTTTGTGGCCCACTTACACGTCAGGGTTGCACATAAGAGAAGAGTGTGGCAGAGGACCACTGCCTTGATCAGGGTAGCTCACAAATGCCAGCAGCCCTGAGCAATGCCCCATTCCTTGTAGCCACTGACTGCCCACCTGGGGGGCGGTCTGTCCCACAGCAAGGCTAGGCTTCTAATCTCTGGACACAAGTATAAATATGTAGAAGACAGTGTGACCACCTTCCCATTGGGCAACACGACAGAAGTCCGTCCTCCTAAGGTCTGTGACCTTCCCAGACCTGGGCTCCAACCAGCGCCAGGCACAGGTCCCCTCCTGTGCAAGCAGAGCAGGATGTGTATGGGTGGCCCGTGCTCACCACTCGGTGTCTGCCCCTCTGCTGCAGTGTGGCCCGCCTTGCCTTCAGCCCAGTATGGCAGCTCACGGGGCAGCTGATGAGACCGTTCATGGTGACTCCCAGTCACCTTAGTGACATCAAGGCACCAGGAGAGAAGTTTCCAGCCAGTTCCAGCTGGATTTCTCCATGTCCTTCCATAGGATGGGGTCTTGGATATGGTCAGGTGGGCAGCCGAGAGCAAGCAGCACTCTGTGTTTGGAGACCTGGCAAAGGAAGCTGCTTTATTAGGTTTCATTGCTGTGAAGAGAGACCACGCCGACTTTATAAAGGAAAACATTTAACTGGGATTGGCTTAGAGAACTGAGTCCCTTATCTTCATGGTGGGAAGCATGGCGGTGCCAGGCAGACGTGGTGCTGGAGGGACTGAAGAGTCTACATCCTGATCTGAAGGCAGCCAGGGGGAGATTACCTTTCACACTAGGTGGAGACTGAGCATGGGGGCTATCAAAGCCCACCCCTGCAGTGATGCACGTCCTCCAACAGGGCCACACCTCCTCCTAGTGCCAGTCCCTGTGGCTAAGGACTCAAACACATGAATCTTTGGAGCCAAACTTTCTCAAACCACCACAGCAGCTGAGGGGGCATCTCCTTTTTTTTTTTTTTTTCTTTCATTGATCTCTATTTCTTGTTTTGTTTTGGTTTTTGAGACTTGGTCTCAAGTATCCCAGGCTAGCTCAGACTAGGCTAGCTGAGAACAACCCAAGATTCTTGATCCTCCTGCCTCCACATCTCAAGAGTTGGGTGTGTCTTGTCGGTGTCTATTGTAGGGCCTTGTAAGTTTTTTGTTTGTTTGGTTGGTTGGTTGGGGGTTTTTTTAGGATAAATTCTTCTTTTCGTGTCTGAGGGGGGCAAATACCTTTTTGTCTGCTTGTTTGTGTTTTTTGTTTGTTTGTTTGTTTGTTTTTCGAGACAGGGTTTCTCTGTGTAGCCCTGGCTGTCCTGGACCTCACTCTGTAGACCAGGCTGGCCTCGAACTCAGAAGTCCGCCTGCCTCTGCCTCTCAAGTGCTGGGATTAAAGGCGTGCGCCACCACTGCCCGGCTGTTTGTTTGTTTTTTGAGACAGGGTCTCATTCTGTAGCTTGAACTGTCCTGGAACTCACAGAGATCCTCCTGCCTCTGTCTCTGGAGTGCTGGGGCGTGCGCAACCATTGCCCAGCCTGGAAAATACCAATTCATTGCAAGTTCTATCTAACTTTTTTACTATTTAGGCAAGTTCAAATTTATTCTCTCCCACAACTCAGTGTCCTTTAATGTTAAGGCTTGGCAAGAATCCCCTTTCTTCAGATACCTATCCTTTGGTCCTGTCTCACCACTGGTGATGAGTGTCACCTCCACAGGTGACCCTGGGCCATGATTTTGATGCTGCCTCGTGGGAGGAGTCAGTAACATTTTAACCTACCTCACAGGTGGCCCCACTTCTGGGAGCAGAGAGGGTTGCAGCCAGAGATTGCCAGGATGCCCTCGCTGGCAGTGAGCACTCCTACCCTGAGATTCTCAGCTTTGACCTGGACAACCTCCACTGCACAGTCATGTTGAACCTAAAAATAAAACCTCTTCCTGAGTGGGTGTCACCGGCAGTGTACGGTAGAATTTTGGGGGGAAGTTTAATTTATTTCTAGCTTTGTAGAGGCAGTTCTGACTCGCTGTCCAGAGACAAAAGCAAAAGGGGAAGAGGCAGGAGAGGAGCGGTGAGGAGCCTTTACCAACAGAAACCCGGATTATTGCAACAATTAAGGGGGGGGGGGCTCCATCCCTGTCCACGCCCCCAGCCCCTCACTGGTTGGCTCTAGGCAGGGGCTCCACCCACGACCACGCCCCCAGCTCCTCTCTCTGAGTTCTAGGCAGGGACTGGTCCTGGGTCCTGTCACCCAGCACCGGAAGGTGGACGCCAGGAGTTCAAGGCGATCTCTACTAGCTAGTGAGTTGGAGGTCAGCCTGGGCTATATGAGACCTTGTCTTGTGGCCCGGGAGAGTGAGCTCTCTTTCTCGCTTGTGGCCCTGCCAGCACCTCCGTCCACCCTGAACTTGAGCGGAGCACATCGAAAGAGAAAGACGCTGGTCGCCCCAGAGATCAACATCTCCCTGGACCAAAGCGAGGGCTCGATGCTGTCCGACGACTTCCTCGACACCCCTGATGACCTGGACATCAATGTGGATGACATTGAGACGCCAGACGAAACTGACTCTCTGGAGTTCTTGGGGAATGGCAATGAGCTGGAGTGGGAAGGTAGTGGCCCCGCCCTGGCCCCTGGCCCCGCCCTGGTCCCTGGCCCCTGGCCCCGCCCTGGCCCCCGGCCCCGCCCTGGCCCCCCAGCTTCACGTGGCCTCTTCTGGCCGCTTTCTTATTGTGGTTCCCACAGATGAGCCAGGTCCAGACGGACCCTAGCCACGGGGGTTGCAGAGGGCAGAGGGAACTAGACATCAACAGAAGGTTCTAGAATGGGGTTCAGTTAAGCACAGAGCCTTGTAAACTAGGAAATGTGTGCAGGCGGGACTGTCCGTCCCTCTCCTTCCTTCTCTTTCGGCCTTCCTGATGTCTTCCCTCCTGCCTGGAGCTAGCTGCTATATCAGGAACAGTCCTCTCACTCCTGCACCCGCAGGGCCAAAGAGGATGACTGGGAGTGCGGCAGCTGGGAGGTCTATGCACTCGGAGGCCCTTTTAATTTTATTTATTTTTATTTATTCATTTACTTTTTCCTTGACACAGGGTTTCTCTGTGTAGCCCTGGCTGTCCTGGAGCTCATTCTTTAGACCAGGCTGGCCTCCAACTCACGGAGATCTGTCTGCCTCTGCCTCCCGAGTGCTGGGATTAAAGGCGTGTGCTATCACACCTGATTTATGCCTCAACATTTAAAAAAGAGAGAGAGAGAGAGCGCAAACCAGCTAATTGGGGTCTGATAGAGCCCTCTGTGGGAATAGCTCACTCAGGTTTAGGTGCAATCATGGCGACTTCCCATAGGAGACAGCAGTATAGCCAGAGCAAGTCACTGTTGGAGGTTGCCATCTGTCATAGTGGAAATGGAGGCAGGAGACTGAAGCAGCTGACCATGGTGGCTGCGGGTTACTCAGCTCGATTTCCTCTCTGTTTTTCAGTCCCAGGCCCCAGCGCCTGGGGTGGTGGCCACACTCAGGGTGGCTCTCACCACCTTTTGGCACATGAAGTCACACCCAGCCTTAAGAGTTTAGAATGATGTCCAGTGTTTCTGGCAGCATGCAGGACTGAACCCTGGGCTGTGTGTATACTGTATTCATGCAGGTGTTCTCAGAGGTTTGTCTCTCAGGATTCTAGATGTTGCCATGTTTGCAGTTGAGACTGACCTGTGTGTGTGTGCGTGTGTGTCTGTGTGTGTGTGCATGTGCGTGTGTGTGTGTGTGTGTGTGTGCATGTGTGTGTGTGGAGAAGAGAAAGAGTCTGGGACAAGACGCCTGGACTCATACCTCCCTCCTGACGCTCTGGCAGATGACACCCCAGTGGCCACCACCAAAAACATGCCTGGTGACAGCGCAGACCTGTTTGGGGACGGCTCTGCAGAAGACGGCAGCGCGGCCAATGGTCGTCTGTGGAGGACTGTCATCATCGGGGAGCAAGAACATCGCATCGACCTGCATATGATCCGGCCGTACATGAAGGTGGTCACCCACGGAGGTGTGTTCGCTCTGGGACTCACTCCTTACACGTCACCCGGGAGTGTATAGTGATGAGGGTTCTGTCAGAGGTCTTCTGTGGGCCTCGGGCTTGTCTAACTGGTGGAAACATTGAACCCGCTCAAGTTTTGGGGTGCACAGATAGACTGGCAACACACTGGGGTACTTAGAGTGGTGGACCAGTTGGCACTGCTCAGGGAGTGGGGGGACGTGATCTAACCTAGGCTACTGGGGCACTCATCAGAATGCCTTTTCCCAGGATACTACGGGGAAGGTCTCAATGCCATCATCGTCTTTGCAGCCTGCTTCCTGCCAGACAGCAGTTCCCCAGACTATCACTACATCATGGAGAATCTCTTCCTGTAAGTTGGTTCCCCACCCAACCAAAAGGGGAGGCAGAAATAGGCGGAGCTCTGTGTGTTTCAGGCTAGCCTGGTCTACAGAGTAAGTCTCTATTTCCCCAAAACCCAAGCAGCAAGGCAGATAGGAGCCCTGAGCATAGAGATACTGTTTAGGTCCCACACGGCCCTGACCCTCAGTGTCCCCACACGGGAACCCCATTTCCAACTCCCCGGGCAGGTATGTCATCAGCAGCCTGGAGCTGCTGGTGGCCGAGGACTACATGATCGTGTACCTGAACGGCGCCACGCCCAGGAGGAGGATGCCCGGCCTCGGCTGGCTGAAGAAGTGTTACCACATGATTGACAGGAGGTGAGAATTCTGGCGTGGAGTGGGGTGGGGCACCGAGGCAGGAAGTTTAACTGGCAACATTGTTCTTAATCAGTCCAGGGGCAGAAGCCCAAGGCCAAGGTGCACACAGCTTTGAAGGAATGTCACTTTAGGGTCCTGCCAGTAGCTTTTGATGGCTGATGACTGTAGGGACCACTGGACAGTGTGTGGTCTTCCACATCTGACCCATGTCTCAGAGCATTGAGTCCTTGAGAGTCAGCCTCTCAAGAGAGGCATCAGAAGGAAGCCCTTCCCTTTTTGTGGCTGGGAAATATTTTAGCTGGTGATCAAATTGTATTATGTCTGTCTGTCTGTCTGTCTGTCTGTCTGTCTGTGACTGCTGGGCTTTTTTCACCTTTGGGTTTCCTGAATAGCTTCCAACATACTTTTAAAGATTTATTTTATTTATTTTATGAGTGAATGCACAGTTGCTATCTTCAGACACCCCATAAGGGGGCACTGGATCCCATTACAGATGGTTGTGAGCCACCATGTGGTTGCTGGGAATTGAACTCAGGACCTCTGGAAGAGCAGTCGGTGCTCTTAACCGCTGAGCCATCTCACCAGCCCCCAACATACTTTTAAAACCTGAAAGTACTTCCTAGAATTCAGGACTGTGCAGGGTGTGTGTGTGTGTGTGTGTGTGTGTGTGTGTGTGTGTGTGAAGGCCACACTGGCCCTCATGCTGCCTGGTGTTGACACATCCCAAGGTCTTTAAATCTGTTCATCTGGAAGACCAGCTCTGCAGTGTGAGGGCACAGCCTGTTAGATCTTGAGATGACAGCCTGTGGAGAGAGAGCAGGCAACTGGTCTACCTTGTCTCCCTCCGGCTCCCTGCACCCCAAGCCTATGACAGTGGCTTCCTTTCTCCTCTCCCCACAGACTGAGGAAGAATCTAAAGTCCCTGATTATCGTCCACCCCTCGTGGTTCATTCGCACCGTGCTGGCCATCTCCCGGCCCTTCATCAGGTAGGCCATAGGTGACTGCCCTCGTTAGGACTCCGCTCTGGCCACTGTGCCCTAGGTGCATGTCCGAGGGTCAGTGGACTTCCACCTACTACTTTGTCTTCATAGCCTGAGATTCATGGGACTGGCCAGGCCTGAGGTCCAAGACACAGTGATCCTCCTGTCTCAGCCCCTCCAGCTGCAGGGTTATAGCTGCAGGGCACCACATCTGGTGTCTTACACATCATCTGTAGTTTTGATCTCATGTCTTGGTACTTGCACAATGGAGCCATCTGTTCTGACCCTTATTTTTAAAACTGGGTTAGGATAGGTCAGTGTTAAAATGGCAATTCTCCTGCCTCAGCTCTTTGAGTGCAGGCATGTACCATCAGGCTAGGTGGACATTTTTTTTTTTTTAAATAGGATGCATCCAAAGAGCTGGCAGGATGGTTCTATGGGTAGAGGAGCTTGCTGCCAAGTCTGACAACCTGGGTTTAATACCCGAGACCGAATGTTAGACGGAGGGAGTTGACCCCCTCAAGCTGTCCTCTTGATTTTTATTTGTGCACACATGATGAATAAATGTAAGAAAATGTTTCTTTTCTTTCTTTCTTTTTTTGTTTTGTCTTGTTTTTTTTGTTTTTGTTTTTGTTTTTGCTTTTTTGTTGTTGTTGTTTTTTCGAGACAGGGTTTCTCTGTGTAGCCCTGGCTGTCCTGGAACTCACTCTGTAGACCAGGCTGGCCTCGAACTTAGAAATCCACCTGTCTCTGCCTCCCAAGTGCTGGGATTAAAGGTGTGCGCCACCACCACCTGGCAAGAAAATGTTTTTTAGGAAGAAAGAAAGAAAGAAAGAAAGAAAGAAAGAAAGAAAGAAAGAAAGACAGAAAGACAGAAAGAAAACACACGTCTGAAGTGTTTGTCACTCATCGCAGTCCACACTGGCCACTGGGACAATCCATGAGAAAAGTCTGGGGAGGAGGCTGAGGCAAGAAGATTGTGGGTTTGAGGCCAGCATGGGCACCTGGCAGGCTGGGTGTGGCACAGCCTGGCTGTCTGGTGACCCGTTGTCTGCGCTCTTGTCTCCATCAGTGTGAAGTTCATCAGTAAAATCCAGTATGTGCACAGCCTGGAGGAGCTGGGGCAGCTCATCCCCATGGAGCACGTGCAGCTGCCGGACTGTGTCCTGCAGTAAGTGGCCCTCTGGCCCTTAGGGTCCCTGAGTTTGGGGGTGACATACTATGATTGTGGGGGGATGACAGCTCTGTGGTTATCACACCCGCTCCTCCTTCAGAGGACAGGGGTTCAGTTTCCAGCAGCACACAGAGCCTCACAAGCACCTATGACTCCAGCACCAGGGCATCTGACGCCCCCTCCTGGCCACTGTGGGAACTGCACTATAAGCACACTCACTTTAATATAGTTAAATAAACCTTAAATAAATCAAATTAACAGTTACATATTACAGAATACTGACCATTGAAACTTCATCTCAACACATAGTTCAGCCAACCCCACACTGAAGGTTGGTCCCCATCCGTATCCCAAGTCCCCTTTGCCTGGCCTCTGTTGCCCTGACAGCTCTGGGCATGGCCCCACCCTTCCCACGTCTCACTGGACTGTGTTTCTTTCTCTCAGATATGAAGAACAGAGACTCCGAGCCAAGAGGGAGAGGTCAGTGTGCATAGCCTCCTGACAAGGTCAACTCTGCCTTTGGACATAGAGACAGCTGAGGGGGTGGGCAGTGCTGGTAGGCGAGTGTAAAGACCTGAGTTCGGATCCCAGCACTTATGTAACACGCCTGGCAAAGCTGTGGCAATCTGTAAAAGACTAGGGAGGTAGAGACCAGGTCAACCACCCTACCTGAACCAGCAAGCTCGGGGCTCAGTGAGAAACCCCATCTAAAATAGGTGGATTGGGCCAGTGAGACAGCTTGGCCTGCACTGTGCTCCCAGGCCTGACAACCTGACTGTGATCTCCAGGACCTATCCGGTAGAGGGAAACATGACTCACACTCAGGCTGTCCTATGACCCCTCACACAGGCAGGGGGACATATGCACCCCCATACATACACAAAGACCAGACTCTCAGACAAGGTCTCCAGAGTCAGCCCTGAGTTCAAATCCCGGTCTTCTAGTCCTTGATGATACACTCGAATTAGCAAAAGCAGACTCCCAATTTCCAGCACAGGACTCCGGCAACCTGTGTTCACAATGGGATCTGGCTTGCTTGTAGAAATATTTTCTGACATGTACGTGGTCCGTGAACTCAACCTTTAGCACTTTTATGGAGGGTAGTTAAAAATGAGAAAAAGTGAGACAGAAAGAAAAAAGGAAGGCCATTTATTAGCTATTATTTATCTGTTGTGGATGTATCCACACACATGTGGGGGTCACTTGAGGGGAGTCAGTTCTCTTTCCATCAAATGGGAATTGAACTTGGGTCATCATGACTTGGCTGCAAGCACCTTTACCTGCTGAGCTATCTCACTGGCCCCTGCCTCTTTCATTTATGTTGTGAGCCTTACTCAGCTCAGAGCACAAACAGGGTGACCCCAGAATTCACATTTGTACAAACAGTGTCAGCCATACCTAGGGTCTCAGGCTGTCCCTAAATCTGCACAGGCTCGACTACACACAGCCACACACCACACGACTGCCAGGCCTGGAGGAACCAGGTATGAGGCCCTTGTGGCCTTGTCTCCATTGTCTCTCTCACTGGCCTGTCCCCACCTTATCTGTCCCAGCCCACATGAACCCCCTCCCTGACCTGGATGGGAGCAAGGGGACGGGGTGGTCATTCATTCCCTGTCCCATCTCTGTACCTCCTGGGACTTCCTGAAAGTGGATCATGCATGTGAGCCCTCTTGTGTCCAGTTTAAACTGCTGGCATGGTGTCAGAGCTGTATTACTCTTCATGACTGGGTAGTAGCCCAGTGTTCTCATGGGGGAGGCATTGTAGCAGTGAGTGAAGCCCAGTGGATCCCCTGCCGCTCCAGCTGTAGACACTCCAGCTGCAGACACTCCAGCTGCAGACACTCCAGCTGCAGACACC